TATAACCAAGAAAACTAATTTCTGTCAGCCTGAATTGACATTTATCTTTGTTTATCTTTAAACCTTTTTCACCAACAATTTTCAAGACTTTATCTAGTGTTTTAAGATGTTCAGTGTCATTCTTACCAGTTATGTACACATTGTCAAAGTACACACAAACATTTGGAATATCCTTAAAAATACTGTCCATGACAGCTTGGAAAATTCCAGGGCTGGATGATATGCCAAAACATAGTCTTTCATATTGGTAGAGTCCTTTATGTGTGTTTATTGTCGTATAGACTTTTGAATCTGGATGCAGTTCTAGTTGAGTGTAAGCATGACTAAAGTCTAATTCAGTGAATTTGTCTCCTCCTGCCAAATTCAAAGAAATTTCCTCAATGTTAGGTATAGGGTACCTATTTAGCTCTATTTGCTTATTCAGTGTAGTTTTATAATCTCCACAAATTCTTATAGAACCATCCTTCTTTAACACTGGCACAATGGGTGTCGCCCAATCGGAATAGTCTACCTTCTTTATGATGCCATTAGATTCCAATCTACTTAGCTCATTTTCAATTTTATTCCTCATTGCATAAGGTGGAACTCTAGCTTTGCAGTATCTTGGATTTGTATCTTTAATGCTTAACTTCACTGTTCTATCATTTAGTAATCCAGAGTTACCAAAAACACATTTATTTTCAGATATTACTTTATCTAGTGAAGTAAGACTAGATTCTTTTACATTCTTCAATGAACAAATACTCTCCCAATTTAACTTAAGATCACTTAACCAGTTCCTACCTAGTAATGGCGGTCCATTTCCTTCAACCACAAGAAGAGGAAGTTTAACACTTTGACCATTATAACTTACATGAACCATACACTCTCCTATTACCGGAACATTGTCACCAGTGTATGTTGTTAGACACTTGTGACACGGCTGTAGAGACACTGATCCTCCTGTGACAGCGTCAAAATCTTTCTTTGTTATGACTGTTAGAGATGCTCCAGTGTCAAGTTGGAAGCTGATGCTCTTACCGTTGATATTAACTTGTACATTGATGGGAGCATGACTTATTGATTTAACAGAGAACAGGTTGAAATCCGGCTGCGAATCAGTTTGAGAATTTTCACAGGTAGAGTGGTTCATTGGTTGGGTTAGGTAGTCTTGGTGAGAGTTAACATAGTGCTGCCTTTGGTTGCGGTACTGTCTTGCCTGGCTAGATTTAGCAACAGACGAAGACTTTGCAAAGCAGGCCTTGGCAATGTGACCTTGCTCACTGCACTTATAACAAGTTGCTAACTTGAACTTGCACCGATGAGATGCATGGGGACCCTTGCATCGATGACATTTTTGATAATTATTACTAGATTTAGATCTAGGATTTGAACGAGCAGGGTGTTTAGCATAAGTTGGAATGCTCTGATGGGGTGGATGTTTATTGACTAACCTGCTGTTTACTGCATGGATCTCTGAAGGTGCTAAAGATCTCGCCGCATCTGATGACTGCTGGAATGACATTGCAAGTTGTATTGCTTTTTCCAATTTTAGATCTGACTCGAGCAGCAACTTTCTTTGAATATCAGGGCTGTTTACACCTGTCACAAACTTTTCACATAGTCTGTCAGACAGCGTATCGCCGAATTCACAAAATCTACTTAAATGACGTAAAGCAGCAACATATTCTGATATTGACTCGTTTGGTTGACGAGTCCTACTGTCAAATCTAGCTCTACATAAAAACTTTGATGGGGTAGGCGCATGGTGGTCTGTTAGCAATTTGCTCAGCTCGTTAAAGCTCTTGGTATCTGGACTAGCTGGTGCGCATAAGTCCTTTAGTAGCCTGAATTGTTGAGGCCCTATGACTGTTAACAAAACAGCTCTCTTTTTGGCTTCTATCGTCACGTCGTTAGCTTCTAGGTAAAAGCTTAACCTCTCTAGGTAATCTTGAATGATTTCATCATTCGCATCAAATTCTTTTATTTGGCCATACAGCGCCATAATACTAGAAATAATTAGCTAATAAGCTCTAGCAAACCTCTTTTTTGCGTAAGTAGGTGCTCTTTCTAGTAGATGTTTATCCTTCGTCGCCAAATGACGTGGATTGTAATGACTGACGAGAAGCCGCGTTGGTTGTTAACAGTCTTTATTATGTACAGACGCCATGATGCAAAGAGAGAGAGAGAGATGGCGAGAGAGAACTATTTATAGATAACAACATGTAAGGGACATCACTCAAGATAACAATATAAATATAATACTAATACAGAGAGTGAGTTCCCTTGATCTCACAATTAACTCAATCTATTACAGAAAGAAACACTGATGATGGGGGCATGGTGTCGCTAGGTCGGGTGTTACTCGATGCGGCACGTCATGGTTCCCCCTCCTCAAGAAAAAACAAACAACTATAGGCCTGTGTGTGTATGCCCACATAGGCCTATGGCAGGGGTTCCCAGCCCCGTGCCCGCGGGCGCCATGGCGCCCGCCGAACGATTCGTATGTGCCCGCCTCTCACTATTCGACAGAGACAGAATTTTTTTCATAAACATAATTGAAAGGTTGAAGGGGATGGAAATCGAAAGTTTGAGGGGGGGGGGGGGTACCAATCGAAAATTTGAGGGGAGGGGGTGCAAATCGAAAGTTTGAGGGGGGGGGGGGGTGCAAATCGAAAGTTTTGTCCCCGGGTGACGGGAAGGGTCGCTACGCCTCTGGAAGGAGTTTGTCGATTTAAAATAGGTGGTGCCCGCCACCCTACCGATATTTTAGAATGTGCTCTAGAGTAAAAAAAGGTTGGGAACCCCTGGCCTATGGTTTAAATATATGCCATATACGCGTGTTTGTATGTGATTAAGCATATGTAAATGCATTCTTGTACAATTTTTTTTTCGGATGTAGTAAAACTTTTTTGAAGCTACGCACCTTTGGGCTGAACTACGACCTCTGTTTTTAATATATAGGAAAAAATGTTACATAACGACAAAAGAGTTTTTTCCCAAGGGGTCATCCATAAATGACGTCACGCTTTTTAAACGATTTTTACCTCCCCCCTCCCCTCCGTCACACGTCGTCACAAAAAGCCAGACCCCCCCCCTAAAATGACGTCACACCTCAGTGACCTCAGCCTACAACCCCCCTCAAAATTGCAGTTGAATTTTTTTTAAAACATCGATATTTTTCCAAACTCTTGCCTGAAATCTGACAAAATAAAGTATTTTAATAAATTCCTATTTATTAAAACAGTTATCTAAAACGCAAAATCAGAGGTGTAGCGATTGGCAGGGGGAGAGGCAGGGGGGGGGACATATGTCCCCGGGCGCCGACCTTAGGGGGCGCCAAAATGGGTTGTTAAAACAAATTAAATGTCATTTTAGCTGTATTATTGCAGTTTGAGGGGGGGGGGGTGCAAATCGAAAATTTGCCCCCGAGGGGGGCGCCAAATTGAAAGTTTGTCCCCGGGCGCCGGGAAGGATCGCTACGCCTCTGCGCGAAATAACGTCTTCTTCTTCTTCGTTCTTAATTTTTAGTGTTGGGAGGGTTTGAACTCGAGACTTTTTTTCGAATTTATCAACCATGAGCTTTGCCGACTCGACCATGCTTCCATCACAATTAAGGATTACGTGTCAATTGGTTATGCGCCATTGAGGCCATTGACTCCGATTTCAGCCTGCTTTTCTTTTTGGATTTGCTTCCATAGCCTTTGTCCAACCAAGAACAAACTACAAGGCAGCAGTTGTTTAACATTTCTTTTTTATAATGAAAAAAAGTGGGACGTCGCACAATCTGAACCCCCCCCCCTCCCCCTCATCACACATCGTCACAAAATTACCGACCCCGCTCCCCCCTCCGAGTGTGAAGTCATTTATGGTCTGTATGGACGACCCCCAACGTTTGAATCACATTAACTCTTTACCTTTTATGGGTATACCAAATTTTTAATCACATTTTTGCAAAAAAAAAAAAAAAAAAAAAAAAAAAAAAAAAAAAAAAAGCCAAATTTATTAATCCACCTCTTACTCTTAATTGAAGCATCTTTTCAATTTGTAGTAAATTATCAGCTGTGGTGTCTGTCGGTCGTTGATTGATGCATCAGTTATTCAACAAAAGTTTTTTCCCTGTATAAATGTAGCAGTTGGTGTTACCCTTCCTCCAACCGGGTGATAGCTTTGATCTGTACACAGTTAAAATAATAACAAGGTTTATCTATGGTCGGTTTTTATAGTCGGCCTTGGTGGCACCCCCAACCCCCTGAATGGTATCACGCGGAGCGGTCCACCCCTCCCCCTCGCGACGCCGCTGGGTGTGTGTGCCAAATTTTGTGTTATGAGCCTATGCACGATCCTAATAAACCCGATAAATATAATATGAAACGGAGGAAAAAAACGGCATAACGTTAACATTTCAATCTTAACCAAAATTTATTTAAATATATAGAGAATCTAGATCTATATTATGCTAGTCTAGTTCTAACATTTCCTCTCTTATACTTAAAGAGTAAAAAAAAAGGCATTAAAAATAGTTGTGTTCTAAACATGGCGGATGACTGCGGATGAATATCAACTCATTTATCAGTAGCCAAACTTATTTTATATTAAGATTTTCATTTAAAAATGTTTACAAATTATTTTAACGACATTGCTAAAAATATTTTTGCTGTCAACAATTTTTAGATTTATTGTTATAAATATTAAAGTGTGGTTATAAATTGTGTTTTATTTTATTATGCGCAACAATATCTGCAGACTCAAGTTTGGAAGAAGGTTGATGTTGATATTCTAATTTTTCATAATTAATTACACTATTTGTTAATTCTATTACTGTCTACTTTTGTTAATCGACTTTTGGCTAAATCAAATGATATTATATACAAGATTGACCTTTACGCTTGATAAACATAGTGTCCTCAACAGACTGTTTTCTAGATGACCCTTGGCTGCTAACTTCCTTCATAACAGGCAGGAATTAGTCTAGCAAGTTGTGTATGTTAAATTAAATTAGTGAATTTATTAGACCAAAATTGTGCTTGAAAATACAGAATAATGTAGATTTAAAATTCATAGCTTGGTGATTTCAAAGGTCATATCAGTTGGATTTTCTTAAAAACCATTTTCCATGTCTTGTGGAAGTTCTTGTGATACTGTGAAGTAACAGAGAGGGATGTCATTTACAGATCGGTAAGTAAAAATTTGTACACACCAAAAATACTAAAATAGTAAATGCAAATGCTGTTATTTCATTATTTTAATTACTAGCCTATCATTTTATTCACTGTGTTACTGTTTTTACTAAATGATTTTACTTTATCTCTTTTTAAAGACCTAGATCTAGATAATCCATTATAATTCTAGATAGGTGGTTCCTTATGGCTTATCCAGTTGAAAACAAAGTAAAAGAGCTTTTTTAGTCTAGGCCTACTAAAAAAACTATACTAGATCTAGATCTAATCTAGATCTACTAGATCTATTCTATAGTCAAGTATAGTCCGATCTAGATCTATTATTTATAATCTAGTCTAGAATATAGATTAACCCCACCCCTCTCTGCCAAAGAAATGTTGCAGGAGAACAATACTATTTATTAGTTTAACAATTCTTAAAGTTTTAAAGCAATATTCATACCTGTGATCTGTATACTGTTTAGTTTAGCTCTAGTAGAAGAAGGAATAACTTCTGTCTGAAGAGCACTAGCCAAGCCCTTTTGTCAGTTTTAAACTTGCTATTAAAAGTAAACAGAATTTTCATATAACAAAAATGGATTTTGTAAGAGAAGAAACAAATATGTACTGTTGATACTTTTATATACTTGTTACCACTTTAATAGTTGTTGTTTCCTTGTCAGAAGCTTCAGGAATAATGTGTGCATGCCGCACAAGATAGCACTTCTTTTTAAATGTTAGTATTTTCACTGCATGGTACACTTGTGTTACTGCAAGCAGTGGAGGGCCATTCATTGCCTGAGAGAAACTCAGTATAATATTTTAGCTATGTTAGGCTTTAAGATAAAATAATATATCAATAGGATACCAAACCCCTAAACAAATTCGTCAGCACTTTGGACTTGATTTTATAAAATATAGCCTAATCCTATAATAATACTATTGGCCCAGTATATTTATTTAATTACTTGTCAATAAGCAAGCAGTAATTGTCTAGACTATACGGCCTCCTACCCAAACCCAGGTTTGAAACACAAAGTAAATTGTTTGCTTCAATGTTGACATGAGCCTGACCTGACAAAAAGTTCAATATCACTTTCATTAATTAATAATTAATATTACTAGATCTATTGCTTGTAGCATTAAAAATGCTGTTGTTTTTGCTTTTTTGTAAGTAGGAGCTTATCACCAAAATATAAATATTTGCTACATAGTATGGCATGACCATGGGTAACAATCATGAATGTTGGGTTTATCTTATTTTTGACTTATAAACAGATACTGTTTTAGTTGGCACTAATAGCTGTGCCAATTTTGCAGGTGTACTGTAGCCCAGACACATTGCATTAGGTGCTGGTTGAAAATTATATATTTGCATATAGCACAGTAAACACATAGGGAATGTGTGCATTCATTTCTTACATGATCTTGAATTGATTTAACAACACTATGTGTTGATTTATTTAGTTTTCATTTGGGTTTTGAGCAGGAATGAGAAATGCACATAGAGATTCATCCATTCCTACTAAACATAGAACATCTCAGTGAAGTACTCTATTTTAGATTAAAGTGGTTTCTTAAAAGTTTTAAATCAAATTATGTAGGCCCTACATTGTAGTTGTAAATAAAATAAATCAATAACTATTTCTGCTATAAATAATACAGACACTTTCAGGCAATTGACTGCATGTTTATTATCAACAATTATCTTAAAATATTTTTAAGCTTATCTATGTTTATCATATAAATGAGTGTTTTATTGGTTGAATATTATTAGCAAAACTAGCCTTGGTCCTGAAATAGCAATGCTTTTTTATATGACACATGTAACCAAAAGTATAGTATAAGCAAAATTAAAAAGTGGTTGAGCATCATGCTTACCACACAATTCCTTCATATACAAAAGTTACATAAATAGAATACTTCTTCTGCCCTGAGCTGTTTGGAAATCATATTAGTTTTAGGCTTTTATGACTAACCTAGGTAGATTAAAATTTAAAATTAATGTGCAAAACCGCTGATCTTTGTCTTCTTCATCACCTTTTTAAAAGTGTTTTTTCAACACCCACTGGAGCTTAGGCAGGTTACTACATCCTTCCATGCTTTTCTGTTCTTTTCTATGATTTCCATTTAATTTCTATAATATAATTTTATATAGGCCTTACTAATACTATTTTTAAAAAAAGTGTTATTTTATCTCTTACATACATTAATATTGAAACAAGATACGTATAAAAAATGTGAAAAGGCAAAGAAATCTTGTGAATGTGGTGTAAAGATCTTGGACATTCTCATTATTTAACAAAAAATTAAATTAATAAACACCTAAAAATATCATATTATCTTGAAGCATTCACCTCATGAAATTAATATTTTAAAAATGTTTGGCTGAAATATTACTTGTAAATTTGCAGTGCATCAGAATATATTCTACTATTATATTCAAATGAATTCATTTTGAAGCAGTGTTAACAGTATTATGAACACCGATGTACAAATAGTTACTCATTGTTTGACATAGGCTTGTATATTACAAATTGTGTAGGCCTATATTTAAAACAATTGTTAGATTATTAAATATTAACATATTGGGTGTATTTTAGCTTGTGTATTTTAGAATAGAAAACTACTGACAGTTAATGGGTACAACTGGATGACCCTGTTATTTTAGATGCTGTTGGGTGACCTTTCCTTATGGAAATAATTATAATTAAATTAATTTCCGCGAATTTCCTATCAAAATTGAACATAAAAATTGTAGTAAGGTAAAATGAAATAAGTGGGTGCAAATCAATAAAACAATAACTTTAAATTTTACCCAGAAAGTAAATGACTGTTACTTAAAAACATAATTTTTTTTTTTTAAATTGTGTTGCACTTGACTGTAAGTATACAGTGGAAGCTTAATCAATCAATCTCACAGCTTGTATGTACACAAATAGCAGTAGGACATTTTTTATATTACAAATTAAATTGTTATCCTATTTTATAGTGTCTTAAGCTTACAATTGCCAGGTAGTTGTGAAAAAGAAGTTAATGTAATTTATTACCCTCTTTTTTAAGTAAACAGTAGTAATCTATTAGCATTAATTTTTTTTTTTTGCCTTCATTCTAGAAACACTTTTTACCAGCTAAGAAACTTGGACAGTTATGTAATCCTGGAGCCCAAGTCAATTATTATTTAAAAACTTTTAAAAACCTCTTTTGACTTCACACATTTTGGTTGAAGCTTAGGCATTTGGGCGAATTAATTGTTTACTTCCTTAAAGTGGAAAAAAAATGTGCTTTTTTATTTCTCCCTCTTGGTGATTAGAGCTATAAAACAAATGATCTGAGGAACATCAAAAGAGTAATTTGAGGTTTTACAGAAGTCAGCTTATACAATATTCACCTCTAAGTCTAAGTAAAAGAAACAATTAGCAAACAACAGTAAATTAACAAGTATAGCTATAAAGTGCTTGTTTAATGACCAAAGTCCATACATGGTAGAGTAAAACAAGGAAGCAAATAAAAATACATAACTTTTTGAAAGCATTAACTGTATTTAACTGAATTGTAGACTGGATGTCTGGGCTATTATACTATTGTCTATTGGATCTAATTGTTCAACATGTATAAATTTAGAACTTTTTACATTTATGAATTGTAAAGTGACTTACAATACTATACTTACATATAATGAAAATGCTAGTTAAATACTTTTTTCACCCTCTACTCCATCTGCATAGAGCAGATGCTCAAACTATTCTCCTTACAAAAAATCAATCATACTAAAACAGTATCTGTTTTTTTAAAGGCTACCTTGGCTAGACACGTTTTAAAAAAAACTGATTATTTTTCCAGAGATCATGTTACAGCATTGACCTCATTCTCTTGTAGTTCTAGAGCAGTCTATTTTTAAAGTTTTTTTTTCATAGTAAAAATGTTTTTAAGTTTCTAACTGGAAATGAGGCTATTTGATGACACTTTCATTTATTAAATGACACATGTGTTGTGTATTTTTACGATGGTTAGTTTGAGCATATGTGAGGTTTTAATTTATGACACTTTCATTTATTAAATGACACATGTGTTGTGTATTTTTAAGATGGTTAGTTTGAGCATATGTGACGTTTTAATTTATGACACTTTCATTTATTAAATGACACATGTGTTGTGTATTTTTACGATGGTTAGTTTGAGCATATGTGAGGTTTTAATTAAAAGAAAAATATTTGTAACATACAAGAATCCAAATCTGAGTGTCTGATGACATAAAACCTGGCATCACCTGAACTCATCTTAGTGGGGGGAAGGGCGGTAACCGTTAGGATACAGAACCTAGTTTAATCATGTTACGCTACTGTGGATTATCCTTAGCGCGCATGCGATCTCTCCTCTCCCCTCCCGTCCACCGGTTTACACGGCAGTCCATATCCTTCCTTAATACGGCGAAGGGATGGGGAGAAAATAATAAACAATTTTGTTCCGTTTTCAAACGTTTTGATAGTCTATTTCTATGCTGAGTTCTAGGTACTGCTGTTCTACTGCCATAACAAAATATTTTGTTGTCACGCTTGATCTCGTCGTTCGTACATTCCTCGGCAGTTTACCAAGCCGTTGACTAATCATAACTCAGATGTTTTGTGACACTGTTACCATGGGTGAATGGCGAGAAGAATGTCGATGCCGCCGCCGTCAGCGTGTAAACATTTCTACACATTCACTGCACTTGTGGTTTTTCCCCCTGCACTTTTACCCCATCTCATGCTTTAATACACATTGGATTAAAACACCTCACTAAATTTAGCCGTCTAATAATAGCCGTCTGTATGGACGACCTGTTGTGATAGTACCGTCTCCATTACCCTCGGATAGCAGTCCCGCAACAAACGGCCTTATTCACCAGTGACTCGCTAACGGTGGGGAAAAAAAAAACAACACTGTCGTAACTTCTAGCCTGTGAAGCCTAGATCCAAACGTGTACTAAACTAGACATTCATTTCTTTTGGCCAGTGTGGGGAAGAAAATCGTTTATGTTTAGAAGAAACCTGTACTTAACAGAGTTGTTGTGTGCATTCGCTCGCTCCACCGCTTTCTATTTTTAACAGGCGAATGTAATGGAAAGCTTGTTCATTTGCCTGCCACCTCCTACATTTCTCGCTTTCACGAGCATTTTTTGTGTGTAGCACTCGGTCTGGTTTCTAAATCGCGTGTATGTGCTGTGACCTAGAAATATATCTCCACAATAAATGAAGCTTCTATTTTATTTAAGTGGCGAGTTTCCACTCTGACCTACATTGGATATCACCTTGTTATGTTTTTTTTAAAGCCTGTGACCTATGACGTCACGTGAATGTGCATCATTGTTGACATCTCCACCCATTTCTTACGTGTTTCTAACTTTTTAAACCTAGATCTAAATCTATTTGGATCTGGAGTTTTTATGGATACAAATAATAAATCAATGCATAGCAATTGTTTTTAGATCGTGTTTCAGGATGTAGGCCTGAAAGTGGCCTAATCCTGATGTGCACCGCTAACGTTACTAACATCGATTTTATGATGTGTAGTGTTTCGTAGCTGCTATCATGCTATTGTTGTAGCAAGTCACGGCGCAGTGATTACACTTGTTACAGTGCTTTGTGTATTTGAAAGTCAAATAAAAAACGTTTAAAATTAGTAGGGTTTATTTTTGAAAAAGAAAAATGACGTTCTGTTGCTTACAGTAGCATTGCTTAAAAATGTTTATTTTGTGAAGTTGCATTGTCAGTGCTACAACATAATTAATTTTTAATAGACTGCTGCAGACTTCGTCAAAGAAGGCCTTTTTAGAGTATTGATTCAATGTACGTAACATACTACTATTAGTATTATGTATACTATTGCTCAGCATATTAAGCTTTGTTATTATGTATCATTTTATTTCTTAAACAATGTTTAAAAAATCTGACATATTGTATCATACATTAGGTCAGCTTAAGTAGATTCTATAGCCCTGAAATTATTCTTGTGAAGGAATGAAATTAGTTATAATTATATTTCTCTTCACTGAAAAAATGTTCCTCCTAAAGTAGGCTACTGTAACTTCTTGGAGCATATGATACATCATTTTTTTTCTTTATAATTATAAAGGACATGAATATGATCACTACATGGATTAAGTTGAAGATTGGATTTCATTTTCATTGACTGTCCTAGTCAGTAAATTTATTCACTTTGAGAATGGACATTTAAAAAGTGCCGTTACCTAGTGGCACTGGCAGTTGTTAAGTTTTAGAATTTTTCTATTTGGCATCAAACCACTGGAGCAACTGAGATGCCTCTAAATAGAAAATGGCGTTCTATGGATCTTTTTGGATCTAAAGAAAATTTAAGCAAAGGGCATGTTAATAAAGAAGAGCATATGACAAAAGGATTAGATGGTGGTAAAGCAGATCACTCCATCAGTCTTCGTGATAAAGGAGAAAATCTCAGACATTTAAAGCATCGGTAGGTGGCACCTTTATTGTTTGGGAAGACACAACTAACAAGCTTTGCTTAACTGTAGATGTGTAGTTTCATCGCCTTCACTGAAGCTAACACGACCATTATTATGCTTGCCTCTTTCATGCTGTTACGGGCAGTTACTATTTGTTTCACGCATAGAAGAGCCCCCATTTTTTTATTTTCCTTGGTATTACTTAAGTGTCATCATGCTTCTGTTCTCAATCGCTTTTTAAAATGTATACAGAATTTTTGTTATATTAAATTTTTTCAGTATTTATATTCAATGTAGATTCTAGTTCTAGTTGATATCAATATTTTACAACTGTATTAATATTAGATTTAAAAACTTAAAAAAAATATTTTCAAAACATTTCATTCTTTAAAAACATAATTGCTGTTAAAAATTTAGCTTTGATGTTTCAGTTTAAAATAAAAAGAAAGCTTGCAAGTAACACAGTGAATATGTAAATGAGAATTTTAGCTTGTGGAATAACTTAAAGTTATTGATTAAGCCTTGGACTTTGTTGTTGTTCAGTGAAAACAGTTGTTTTGTAAACTAGATGCACTAGATGTTGTTCACTATAGCTTTGTATAAGAAAAATAAAGAAATAGTATGTCTACCTGGTATTTTAGGCTTTAATATTGTAGCAACTAGATTTACTGGTTACCTGCCGGCATTTGTATAGTAACTTCTGGTAATTATTGTTAGCTGTGACTACCTGCTATGGCAGGCTTTGATGTAGTAACTATGGCTACCTGCTACTGTAGGCTTTAATGTAGTAGCTGTGGCTACCTGGTACTGCAGGTTTTGATGTAGTAGCTGTAGCTACCTGCCACTGCAGGTTTTGATGTAGCTACTGTAATACTGTATAGTAAAAGTTGTCTGTTTGGCTACCTGCTACTGTAGACTTTAATGTGGTAGCTGTAGCTACCTGCCACTGCAGGTTTTGATGTAGTAGTAGATGTGGCTACCTGCTACTGCAGTCTTTGATGTAGTAGCTACTGTATTGACTGTATAGTAACAGTTTGTTTGGCTACCTGCTACTGCATTCTTTGATGAAGTAGCTACTGTATTTACTGTATATTAGTATTAGTCTGTTTGACTACCTGATTGTACAGTTTTTTATGTAGTAGCTGTCTCTATCTCCTACTGCAGGTTTTCATGTACAAATTACTGCTTTTACAGTAACTATATTTAGAGTGGCTATTGATAGTGACTATTGGTTTGACAGTATAGTAATTAGAATTTACAAAGTCAGATGCTACCAAGTAGGGCAACATGTTGTTTGTACCTACATAGTTAGCCTTGGTTTGTCAGCTGTGTTAATGTAGTTGGTTGGGTACTGGTGGGAGGGTTAATGGGTTGACAGAAATTCTATTTTCATTTAGCAGTTGTAAACACTTTTAAATGCTAGTAGCAAGGGATACGTTTTTTTGTACATTACATTTTGAGATTATTCCTGCTTATCTAATTTAATTTCACTTGTTCAAATTTCACTTAATTTCTTTGTAATCAAGATTGACTGCATTATCAGTGTTATCTTTTAATTAGACCATCTTAATAACTATTGTAATCTAGATTCTAAATGTGTTATGTCTATCTGGAAGAGATGTCATCAACACAGTATGAACACATTTGTAAGCTGTGTGTGATTATTACATAACTATAATTAGACCAACCAATCTATATGGACTAAATTTAAATCTTACCCACACAGCAGCACACAACAGTCTTATCTCACCTTCCATATTTTAGGAATGACTACATAAGAGTATTTTACATAATGATATATTTTAAAAATTGAAACATAGTTTATTTTTATAAATTGTGTTTAGGATCATTTCTTGTGGCAGTTTAGGATTATTTCTTATGTAATAAGCGGCATCCGTTGTCTATTATTTTAGTGTAAGAGATGTGTTGAGATTCATCATATTTCTTACAAATAAAATTTTGAAGAAGTATCTACTCTCACCATCCACAGCTGTCTCTAAGCAGTATTCTAAATAAGGAACACTATCTGTTTAAACCTGTTTTCACCTTCAGTAGCGATGCCACTGGGACTTGTATGAATAACTAATGGTTTTAACCTACTGTATACATTTGCACAGTCTCTGTTTTCACCTTCAATAGTTGTTGACAAGTGGTATTCTAAAATTTGGATTTTATAACTACCAATTACATGCTTCTGCTGATTTGTGAAGATACACGTCTTTATTTTAAGTCATTTCTGACTGTCTGTAACTGAAGTACTCTATCTGGAAAAAGTAATTAGAAATTACACTGCATTGTCACTACAATCATATGGTTGTATGTTAGACTCAAAGCTGAAAGAACAGTCATGACTTTGGTCTAAATGCTATTTATATTTGCCAACCAACTAACTTATAGAGGAATTAATGTCAGTGTGGAGGAAAGGTGTGTTCTAATATACTCATTACATATACCAGAGCTCTTAGTATAAATTGTTGGCTTATTTGGGGAAACGCTTGTTGATTAATGGGGACTTGCTTGTTTATTAAATTTACAATCCAGTAGACTACATATCTTAATTACCCCTGGTGAAGCGTCCTATTTCCTTGTGACTAAGAGGAAAAATTTGTTGTGGTTTTACCTAAAAACTTTTTTGTTGCTAGAAATTTGTTGTTTGTTTTTGTTTGAAAAAATCTGTTGCATTAAAAAAAAAGCTTAAATAAGATACGTTGATTTACTTTTATTATCCTTAAATGAATGTATGTATACTTGCTTGTCAGTATGATGATTAGACAGCAGATTTAACACAAATTTGTTACTTTACTTCTTTTAAATTAAAAAAAATGTTATAAACAGAAAAATAACAAAAATCAAGCCTGGTCTGGACCAGTGGGGTGAATTATTAATAGAAATGTCTTTGGTCTTGCCTATTCTATATTAAGTTGTCACAGATTGTGACAAAGTTTACAAACACTTGTTGCTTTGTTTGTCTACCAAAATTAAAGCCTGTTCTGACTCAAGTGGCTAAAATATCTTGTTTCAGTACTTTTACAGTAATCTGCATCACAAGAAGATACATAAAATGTATTTAAACTTCTGAGTTTTTTGAAACTTACACATAATCATTTCCTGTTTTGTCTAATACAAAATTGACAGTTTTTTAAAAATTAGGATGTGTAAGGATAATGGCACAGTTGATTTGAAGTATCCCACTACCATTGCCTAATTTTTAGGTTTTAAATCATTTATTTAAAAGAATTAATTTTGATATTTTTGTAACAACATGATGCTAATTATTTATATTTCAAGGGATTTTACATTCATTTATGGTTGCTAAAATTAACAGTCATTAACTGTTATCTTACATTGTGTTGTTAACATCTAAAAAATGCCATATTTACTCATTGGTGCTTAACAATCTGACCTCTGTTAGGTGTTTAGTAATTTCAGGCTAGGTAGTTGTTTTTTTAATTGTAGGTTATCTATGACAACATAGCTGTAAACCCATGGGTGGTTTGACAATATAAAATTGGATTATAATTGTTTTTTTTTACACTGTCTTTCTTTCAGTAAGAATATTTACAATACCTTTAGTTACTTGACTTCCTGCTTTTTATTAGTTTCTCAGATATTACTGTACTACCATAATCATATTTATGTACTGTTTATGCTAGTATTTTTGGTGTATTTCTTTTTGGCACATTTACATATTTATTTGTATGCTACAATAAATTGGAAAACTGTTTGCTTTGATCCATTTAAAAAAAATTATCTGTACTGTAAGCGTGATCTTACTAAAATTCTAAACTAAATTTACTGTTAAAAGTTAGGTATAGTCAGAGAAATGAACCTTAAGAAAAATTGTCTTGCCTTACAATTATCTTCCTTTTCTCTCTATACTGCATTCCTGATTGTTGAAACAAGTCATTTATTTTCTAGGCTCACTAGCATTGTGTCACGAGGAGATGAACCCTCCACTCCTACTGCAGTGCCGCCAGACTCCACTGGTGCTAACCTTGTACAGAGATGTGTAATCATTCAGAGGGATGAAAAAGGCTATGGATTTACAGTCAGTGGTGATAACCCAGTCTTTGTTGCATCTGTCAAAGCAGGTTAGTTTTGGTAGTAAGAAAATGTGTTTGTACAGAATATATATTAAAGAATATGTTTTTGTTAGTATTTCCACCCTATCTCTGCCCCGAAAGCTAAATCTCACTGTAACACTATACTTGACTAATGTGGTCTGATAGGTACTTTCAAAATGATATGCTCTTCTGTTTAGGGTATGTTAATTATAATGAGATTAGTTAAATAATGCTGTCTTTATCTTTTGTTTCCTTGTCTGGGTATAGATTTTAAAAACTTAGTTGATTTTGTTGACAGTTCAGTGTTACAATAGTTAGTTCATTCTCATCTTTCTTCTATTTTGAATGGCAGGTGGGTTTTCTAAATAGTGAAACACATCTTCTACAGCCTGTGTAATTGCTTCTGATAACTTCCTCTGCTACTGTATAAAAATACATGCTCGTTAGTTGTGTTAGCTCTCACCTTGTTGGCATAGTGATTAATCACCTGTTGACTTGATGGTAAATAAAACATTTTGTGACTTTGAAAAGCAACTAGGAACAGCTTTGAAAAGAACAGAGAAGTGCAGTTTATGCTGTTGTTGGATTTTGTTGGCAGTATCCTTGCTTCTTATGTCTCTTAGCTATTGTGCAGAGCGTTAGTTTATTAAAAAACAACTTGAAACATGAACACACATGAAAGGAACAAACAACCTACAATGTTGTTTGTGAAAATGTACGACTGTCAGATTACTGGTATGAGATCAGTCTAGGGGTTTATAAAGAGAGGCATATTCTTGCAGTTTTTTATTTTGAAAGTTATAGCTGCTAGTTTAGTACATCATTATTTGTAATCTTTAGTAGGAGCTGCTAACTAACTACCACAAGCATTTGTAATTCTTGATTATACTATTTTCGCTTTTTTATCATTGGTCATTAATTTCTAGTTTTATTTTTCATGGAGTTTTTACATTTTTATATATTCCTATAGAGACCATTCTGAAATCCATTCTACCAACATAGACTTTTTTCATGAAACTTTGATTGATACCCAAAACCTCTCAAAATTAAAATTAACTTTTGTCCAAGCTGTTTTGTTTTGAGTTGATCATATGGGGGAAGCCTGTGTTGAACTGAGCTACCTTACCTTTAGTCAACATTTGCTCCTGGGTGATACTACTGTTTGCTGTTGGTTGTTTGTTATTTTAACTTGTGTACTGCCCACACAGTTTCAACAGCCTCATTGTTTGTTGGCATAGTGGGGTAGTTCTAGTGGTTAAATCTTGCTTGTTTCTCTCATTTATACCAGAATTGTCTTTGGCATATTTAAAAATGAAAATTATTTATTTGTGAAGAGGATACAGCCATGTTCATTTGGCAAATACCCATTCAATTTTTGTTTTACATATTTATAAATAGATTCTATGCTCTTCTATGACCTTTACTTGTGGTTGACTGTGCAATAAAAAAATCTGTTTATTTCTTCTGAGATATTATCTTTAAATTTATTAATTCCTAAAATCTTGTCCAACTGAATGAATATTATCCCAACTGTGATTGGCAGAATTGTGTTCTACTGTTTTTTTTAGTTTGTTGCTTTTATGCTTGTCTTCATTCTTTATCTCAATGTTTATTATTTGGCATGTGTTTTCAGACGGAGCGGCATCAAAAGCTGGTGTTCAGCATGGTGATAGAATAGTCAAGGTAGGCAGAATTGTAAATTGAACTTAGCTAGACATTTGTAATCTTTCCTGCAGTAGTATTTCAATTGTATTGCAAGTAAGAGCATACAGATCAGTCTTAGAATTATATTTAAGGGCATACATAACACAGCTTATGAACTATTTAACAAAGTTTATAGACCTAAGAATTATACTTCAAGTAAGAGAAGATACAAAACAGCCTAAGATATATACTGCAAGTTAGCACAGATCAGTCAGTGAAGCACAAGCAGGCAGATTGTCATGGCGCCAACTTAAAGAAATTGTTCAATAATAGAGAGATGTGGTTGTATCCCTATGCTCCACAAGGGGTGCATAGGAATGGGGATAATGATGATGATGAGAGGAATCATAGTATTAAGAAACTGATTTTGTACATAAGGAATCATGGCAGGCCTGATTGAAATTGTAGTGGAATCGTCATATGTGAAAATGTTTTAGTACATCAGAGGAATCGCAGTTTATGTGCAAACTGTTTGCCGTACACCAGAGTAATCACATCTTGTGGAAGTGATTTAGTACACTGAAGATATCTTGGTCTACTGTAGTGAAATCCTAATATGACAATGTCAACATAGTATAGTTAATGTTATATATTAGTAAATACAGGGATGTGACTTTTCCGAATTTTAGCGGAAATCCGATTTTTCCGTTTCAGCTGCAATTTTCCTCCGCTGATTTAATTTTTGCCGAATTTTTCCGCCGATCTTCGATTTTTGCCAAAGTTTTTAAAAATTAGGAAAAAAAACAACGAAAATGACATCTACGGAAGCGGCCGACTTGCGCATTCCATATATTCGTTTTTAAATGGATAATTACAGTACTTAGGTCAAATATGCACATTTCTTTTTAATTAGACGATTGCGCTAGGTCTGACGATGCTAGATTAAGATGAAATATTGATCTAGGTCAAGATTCAGAATTTCAGTTTTTTTCAGAACGCAAATTTTTGGTCCAAATTTTCCGCTGATATCAGTTGAATATTTATTAAAAACGCGGGAAAAGTAATCTAAAATAATGCCTTTCTTCAAATGAAACTCGAATCTCACAAGCCTGGTATTCTAGCTATCGATATAGCCTAATTTACCTTTCTGTATTTTAACCCACCCAAATCTACAGTCTCTGATTTTATTTTATTTAGCTATCTAAAATTAATATTAAAATCCTTGCAAAAGGTGATTATGAAGACTAGACTAACCCCCCCCCCCCCCCCCCCCCCCCTCTGTAGCAACCGTGGCTCTTGTGACCTCAGCTTGACCTCTAAGTACGTGAGTGGTACTGCTTGTGGGGAAAAAAATTAAAATGACGTCACAGTAATTTCAAATAGCTGTTCCTGCAATACATATGCTATAGGCCTACAGATTAAAAAAAAAAAAACTGAACTCAACGTGACTCAGAAGAAAAAAAAAATACAATATGGACTGTTTTTAATAAGGGGTCTTCCATAAATAACGTCACACTCGGGGGGGGGGGGGGGTCCGTAATTTTGTAAATGTGTAGGCTAATGAGGGGGAGGGGGTCAGATATTGTGACGTCATATTTTTTTATTTAAAAAAAGTTATGTTAGAAACTGAATTTTAGCCGCTATTGCGCGTTTTATAAAACTTTTTAAAATTGTAATATAAATTAATTAAAATACCCTATGTTGGTTGAGCTCAGTCAATATTTTAGAAAAAAAAATCGATGTTTAAATTTAAAAAAAAAATTCAAATTCAATTTTGAGGAGGGGGGGGGGGCGGTTGTTGGCTGAGGTGTGACGTCATTTTAGGGGGGGGGGTCTGTCTTTTGTGATGGAGAGGAGAGGGGAGGTAAAAATCGTAAAAAAAACGTGACGTCATTTATGGATGACATCAAACAATTTACAGCCATTCCAAAAACAAAAATAACCACGTTTGGTTCACATATCACATTCTAATTTCAGCTAATCTGGTCAATTTCATTTTCCAACACCTGAACCCAAAACTTTCAAATTACAATTAATCTGAATCTAGGCATTTTACAGTTGAAGACTAACATTTTTACCATGCCAATCTTTAAAAGAATATAAGGCATAATTTAAAATTGAAAACAAAAGTGTAACTAGACTAGATTAGTACACTTTAAATTAACTAAATGTTGAACTTATTTGCCACTTTTGTAACAATGTAATTTTTTTAAAAAAAGTTGTTTATAAGTTAAACATTAAATTGCAATTAGCCAAGACTTTCAATGTCAATATAGAGTAACATAAACTTCTTTTATTTATAATATTAGCTATATTAAACGATAAATTAGAACAGTAATGGCGTGAGACTGCTTTAACTGCGATAAAAAAAAATAGATAAAACATATTGAGTTCTTGGCCGAAGAAAATTTCCTAATTTTTTTTCCTGGTCTGGTCACATCCCTGTAAATAATACCTGACTCACATTGGGAAACAAAAGCTCTGGCTGGGCATAGTGATGACCACACTACACCCTTGTTTTCCGAGCTTATTGAAACAGATGAACTTTACTGTATCTGCTCCGTGTGTCATGGGTACAAACGAGAAAAGATGATGAAATAATATCTCTGTTTCTGACATGAAGATGGCTTGATAGTTTTATCATAACACTCCATACAATAACATTGGCATTGCCACTGTATAATTATACCTTAGACCTGCTCAGACTTAATTAACCCACTGTTGTTTTAACAGGTTAATGGCACTCTGGTCACCAGCAGAAACCATTTGGATGTAGTCAAACTAATTAAGTGTAAGTACATTTTTTTTCACCTACGTCGTCTGGTACACCCACCTATGATTATAACAAGGTTTACATTCCGAATGCAGTTCTGGGAGATTTATGATTCCATCATAACTGATATTTCAATTACTAATAGTTAAAAAAAAATATAAACTTTCTACAGCTAGTTTTTTAACTAGGGAGGTTTTATTGATAATTTTTGGTTTCAATCATGTTTATAAAGAAAAAAAAGCCAATTGCCATAGTGACCATCTAAGCCATGTGTTTTTTGTAATAATAAAAAAATCAATAAGGTGCCAGTCAATTGGTAGCTCACTGGCTGGCATTAACACTTTGGTGCCTGGTAGCTGTATCAGCTGTTAGCTGTTGTGGTTATAGATTTTATGTCAAGCTTCTGTTCACTTTAGAACCCAATTGCTGAATTCAGAGTGTTGTTGTTTTATAATGACATCTTATCCATCTTGCACAATCAATTGCATTTAGTAAAGTATTACAGTATACCATTACTTGATATGGTAACTAGTGTTGTTGGTTTAGAATACTAAAGGTGCTGTTACATTCTTGAATGTTATCGACTTAAGTTGTTGACGAATGTGTCATACTGGGTAAGTAGAATAAAAATTGAGCTGATGTACTGTGCATTAGGTATTGGTTTTCTTTTAGTTGTTGACTGGATAATTAAACATTCAACCCACATTCATTTTTCTTCATAGCTGGTTCGTACGTAGCCTTGACCTTGCTAGGCAAACCCCATCCTAGTGGGCCCGTGTTGTTAAACTCCGCCACGCCTTCCAATCCAGATCCTGCCAAGTCACGTGTGACAGCGCCTCAACCAGTAGATGTAAGTGAAAGCATTGGGATTTCCTTTAAAACTGGAACCTTCATTTTTATTTCAGTTCAAATTTTAAACTAATGATTATTATACATTTATTTTTTTAAACAAAATTTTAAAGGAATTATCAGCTCTCCTATAAATATCTTTTTTTTTCCATCATTTCTTTAAAGTGTCTAATGCTTTATGTATTCTCAAATCTAGTTCCAAATGAAAGCAGCAGAATAAATATACACTTTAAGAACAATATTTATTTACAGAAGCTTGCTGGATTTAAACATCTAGATAGATTTTTTTCAACATAATTACTCAGCTATGCAACACAAATCAATACTTTGTTAATTGCCCTTTAGCTTTAAGGACCTGATTGTTAGACAGTGCAAGTGTGTATGTTTAATGATAATCGCCTGTACATTGTCACAGATTGTGGTCAGCAAACAAATATATATAAAGTGTATAGATAAATACTTTTCTCTATGGATATCTTTAAAGCTACAAGATTATGTGTATGTGTAATATACATGAGTTTTAGTGATCACATAATTTGAAATTTTAATAAACTTAGTTAGGGTGGAACATTAGTAACTCTCAACAAGAGAATTGTATGAATAAGGGGAGAGCAGCTGTCTTTGTACCACTTCGCGTTGTATGAGCCTTATTGACAATCATTTTATGTCTTTATATGGTTTAATAATCCTTGTCACAATAAATTTGCTGATTACTATGTGTTAAAAAGTGTTATTCAATGATTTTTTTTTTTTTTTTTCTACAGCCTGATAAGGATAGGGAAGTAAAACAGCAGAAAATATCAATGACAAGGGCTATGTTTGAGACAGCCAAGGAAGATTTTGATAAACTGCAAAGACAGTATGTTAGCAAACCTTCAGAGAAACTGCATTCTCTGCTTTTAGAGAAAGAGAGGACAGTCAAGACACTTGAGAATCAATTAAAACAATTGACAGGAGGGGATGAGGCCACTACAGTAAGTGAGATTAGCAGTTTGATGTAAGAGTAGAAGTCAAATCTTCTACAAATCTTTCTGCATCTTCTGCTTAATTCTTTTTATGATTTGGCTTGAGCAGTTGTTGTAGTGGACTTGGGAGACACTTTAATGTGGCATTGGTGGGCCAGTCAATATATGTTTGGTATCTAGTCTATTGGTGGGCCAGTATATTTGGTATCTAGTCCATTGGTAAGCCAGTCAATATATTTGTTTATAGCCCATTGGTAGGCCAGTCAATATATTTCTTTCTAGTCCATTGGTGGGCCAGTCAATATATTTGTTTCTAGTCCATTGGTGGGCCAGTCAATATATTTAGTAACTAGTACATTGGTGGGCCAGTCAATATATTTGTTTATAGCCCATTGGTAGGCCAGTCAATATATTTGTTTCTAGTCCATTGGTGGGCCAGTCAATATATTTGTTTCTAGTCCATTGGTGGGCCAGTCAATATATTTAGTAACTAGTACATTGGTAGGCCAGTCAATTTATTTGGTAACTAGTACATTGGTAGGCCAGTCAATATATTTGGTAACTAGTACATTGGTGGGACAGTTAATATATTTGGTAACTAGTACAGTGGTGGGCCAGTCAATATATTTGGTAACTAGTACATTGGTGGGACAGTCAATATATTTGGTAACTAGTACATTGGTAGGCCAGTCAATATATTTGGTAACTAGTACATTGGTGGGCCAGTCAATTTATTTGGTAACTAGTACATTGGTGGGCCAGTCAATTTATTTGGTAACTAGTACATTGGTGGGCCAGTCAATTTATTTGGTAACTAGTACATTGGTGGGCCAGTCAATATATTTGGTAACTAGTACATTGGTGGGCCAGTCAATATATTTGGTATCTAGTCCATTGGTAGGCCAGTCTATATATTTGGTAACTAGTACACATGTGGGCCAGTCAATATATTTGGTAACTAGTACATTGGTGGGACAGTCAATATATTTGGTAACTAGTACATTGGTGGGCCAGTCAATATATTTGGTATCTAGTCCATTGGTAGGCCAGTCAATATATTTGGTAACTAGTACATTGGTGGGCCAGTCAATATATTTGTTTGTAGTCCATTGGTGGCCAGTCAATATATTTGGTAACTAGTACATTGGTGGGCCAGTCAATATATTTGTTTATAGTACATTGGTGGGCCAGTCAATATATTTGGTAACTAGTACATTGGTGGGCCAGTCAATATATTTGTAGTCCATTGGTGGCCAGTCAATATATTTGGTAACTAATACATTGGTGGGCCAGTCAATATATTTGTTTATAGTACATTGGTGGGCCAGTCAATATATTTGGTAACTGGTACATTGGTGGGCCAGTCAATAGATTTGGTAACTAGTACATTGGTTGGCCAGTCAATATATTTGTTTATAGTACATTGGTGGGCCAGTCAATATATTTGGTAACTAGTACATTGGTGGGCCAGTCAATTTATTTGGTAACTAGTACATTGGTGGGCCAGTCAATTTATTTGTTTATAGTTCATTGGTGGGCCAGTCAATATATTTGGTAACTGGTACATTGGTGGGCCAGTCAATATATATTTGGTAACTAGTACATTGGTGGGCCAGTCAATATATTTGTTTATAGCCCATTGGTAGGCCAGTCAATATATTTGTTTATAGCCATTGGTAGGCCAGTCAATATATTTGGTAACTAGTACATTGGTAGGCCAGTCAATATATTTGGTAACTAGTACATTGGTAGGCCAGTCAATATATTTGGTAACTAGTACATTGGTAGGCCAGTCAATTTATTTGGTAACTAGTACATTGGTGGGCCAGTCAATATATTTGGTAACTAGTACATTGATGGGCCAGTCAATATATTTGGTAACTAGTACATTGGTTAGCCAGTCATTATATTTGGTAACTAGTACATTGGAGGGCCAGTCAATATATTTGGTAACTAGTACATTGGTGGGCCAGTCAATATATTTGGTAACTAGTACATTGGTGGGCCAGTAAATATAGTACATTGGTGGGCCAGTGAATATATTTGTTTCTAGTCCATTGGTGGGCCAGTATATTTGCTAACTAATCATTGGTGAGCCATTATATTTACCATCTAATCTAGTCCATTGGTGGGCCAGTATATTTTGTGTATATCCCTTGGTGGGCCAGTATATTTGTTTCTAGTTTGTTGATAGGCCAGTATATTGTTTGATTGGTCTGCAGTGTATTTTTGTCTCTTTTAAAAAAGCTAATAGCTGTGAAATACGTCACTAACATTTCTAATTAAAGCCACATATTTTGTTGTTATAAGTGCAATCTTGCCCGTGTTGCTGTATTTAACTTGGGGGAACAATTTGAGTGTGTTGAAGTGACGTGTGTACCTTTACAGTCATGCCATGTGTTGGCTTAAATTATTTAGCTCTTAAGATTTCTTTCTAACGAGGATAAACTTCCTGTTGCTGTCAGTTTAACACTTTTTTGAAGTAGGTGTATTTTTTTTTTAAATGCTGGATTTATGTTGATTATTTTGATCACACAGAATACACTTTTTAATAGAAAAACTTTTTTCTTCTCAGCCATCTGGTCTGGTACCAATGTCCAATCGCTTTTCTGACATAGAACACGGTGCGGATCACCCTTGGGTACGTAAAGTTTGTTTTTAAAGCCACTGCTAATTTAGATTTCCTCAATTTTTGCCTTTAATGCAGATAATCATTGCTAGACTTAAGCAGAATTTTTTTTTTTTTTTTGCATATTACTAACATTTAGAAGTGAGCATTATCCTAATAATGGTATCCCTGATGTAAATACTAATTTGTAGAAGCTAGAAATTGTACTAAAAACTTTACTAGTTAGTTATTCCCCTACTATAGATGTACTTATTAATCAATAGTTTATTTAAAGAAAATCTTTAATCAGCTGTTTCCTAAATCATTTAAATCTCTTTACTGTCATCTGTCTATTAGCACTATTGTTATTCTTGGACTGCTATATTATATTTCTGCCTGTTTTTAATATTCAAGTCTATTCTTTTCTGGAATTGCATTCCATTTGCTTTACACACTAAATATTTCATCTGTTTAAAGTTATGGGAATCATACTCTATGGGATACAGAAAGATGAATAATCTTTGACGCGTTTCAAATATAGACCAACGTATTACAGATGTAATGTGTTTCTTTAAGTTGTGCAGTATAGTTTTAGTTCCCTTATTGATTAGTTAGCCTATTGATTAACCAGTTTGTTAGAGAATTACAGGTTCTATGGTCAACTGTAATTGTGGTGCCAACCTGTTTAGCTGCCCACTTTCTTTTGGTTCCAACCAGTTTAGTTGTCCACTTACTTTTAGTTCCAACCAGTTTAGTTGTCCACTTACTTTTAACCAGTTTAGTTGTCCACTATCTTATGGTTCCAACCAGTTTAGGTTTTCTCTATCTTTTGGTGCCAACCAGTTTAGTCTTCCACCATTCAATGGTGCCAACCAGTTTAGTTGTCCACTATCTTTTGGTGCCCAACAGTGTAGTTGTCCTCTTTCTTATGTTGCCAACCAGTTTAGTTGTCCACTATCTTTTGATGCCAACCAGTTTAGTTGTCCACTATCTTATGGTTCCAACCAGTTTAATTGTCCACTATCTTATGGTTCCAACCAGTTTAATTGTCCACTATCTTATGGTGCCAACCAGTTTAGTTGTCCACTATCTTATGGTTCCAACCAGTTTAGCTGTCCACTATCTTACATTGCTTACCAGTTTAGCTGCCCACTTTCTTTTGGTTCCAACCAGTTTAGGTTTCCACTATCTTATGGTACCAACCAGTTTAGTCTTCCACCATTCAATAGTGCCAACCAGTTTAGTTGTCCACTATCTTATGGTTCCAACCAGTTTAGTTGTTCACTATCTTATGGTTCCAACCAGTTTAGTTGTCCACTATCTTATGGTTCCAACCAGTTTAATTGTCCACTATCTTATGGTGCCAACCAGTTTAGGTTTTCACTATCTTATGGTGCCAACCAGTTTAGTTGTCCACTATCTTATGGTTCCAACCAGTTTAGTTGTCCACTATCTTATGGTGCCAACCAGTTTAGTCTTCCACCATTCAATGGTGCCAACCAGTTTAGTTGCCCACACTCCTTGTTGGTCCTACTAAGTCCACTTTCATACAATACCATCTAATTTAATGTTCCCACTTGACTGAATCAGGGACTTGCATTTACAACTAGGTTTAAATATTGGACACTTTTTTGTTTTCTTCAATCATACGTGTTCTCCTTCTGTTGTCAATCTTTTGATTGGCTGTCACATGGGTCCACCTGACCAATGGAATAAGTAGGTTACTGTGTTACTTCTTCTGCATACAGATGTCCAGTTCCCCATCCAACATTAAACATACAAAGCAGAGTTCTGTCCCCATGTTGAACTATAAGTCAATGGACACCGGTCAGTCTGAGATTCGCCCAGTGGCACGGTCCAAGTCCGATGCTGCAACCAGAAAAGTCAAAACCACGTCCACATTCTACGTTGGTTTTCAAGGCACCAATGATTCTGAGGTAGTAAAATATCTTGTAGATATATATTCTCTGTATTTTGAATTTATCATATTAACAGGTTATGGGTTAATTAAAAATAGCACTGGTCTGGCCTCAACAATGTTAGTAGATATATAAATATATATGATCATTCCCAAGACCAAAAGCAATATGAATGCATCTGTATGTACTTATGTGCATAGTGGAAATTGCTGCATCAGTTAGCAACATATAATCGACACCTTGTCATACTATTCCTGGATTTCTCTGCTTGACATAAGAATAGTGTAGAAACTGCTTGGTGCATTTTTGCATGCTTAAAATTTAAAACCATTGAAAAGAAATATATATCCATATACCAGCTTCCCACATAACCTTCCTTTTTGACTATACATTTATTAGATATGCATGTTTATATATACATTCCTAAATTCAATGTAAAGGTTTTCAAACATATTACTGTTCATGTCAAGTGTATTATTAAAGTAATAATTCAGCTATTATTCTAACATCTGTGATAGTTAATGAATATTTACAGTAATTTTGTACACACAGGTAGTTCTCTATTTACTAATTAGTTCCATTCATTAAGGAAGTTCATTATTACTTTGCTTTAAGTGCCCACACATTAAAAGTTGAACTAAGCCAAACTTTTGCAAAAATTAAAAACTCAAATAAATTTTATAAGTTTTAAAATAAAAATAAATTTAAAAAGAATTAAAGTTTAAAAATAAAACAGCACACAAAGTCAGAGTGTAGCTCTAGTTAATTCAGTTTATCACCAAACAGAATTACCTAGGAAATGTGTATAAAAAATGTATCTTTTTCATTGGCGTCTAAATATTCACTCCCATGTGCATCACTTCACACAATCCTTGTAAATGGTTGATTCACTAATGAAATAGCTACAGCTTGTCTGTTTACAGTTTTAAATGGCTAGATTTATCTTAAAGAATTCCACTTTTTAATTAAGTTTTGATTAGAATTCTTTATTGGATATAAAAAAAATAGTACAGTATTTTTTTTTTCCTGAAATAAAAACATTTGTGAAAGTTGAATTTTGCTCCCTTTATACATTGATACAATACTACTGCTAAATTAAATTGCTTTGTGAGTTTAGAAGTTTACAGATCAATACTACATTTGTTCTAAACTATCAATTCTGACAATTTAAAATGTTTGCAAAAAAAAAAATCGTGAAATATAATGAAATAGCCCAATAAACAATTTTTTTAAAATTACTCATTTATGCTGTATTTATAAACAAAAGTTCTTAAACAACAGGTATACACAAAATCTTTATTTTCAGAGTTTCTGTACTTAAAATTTCCCACTATAAATCCACATTTTAAATACTTGTCGAACTGTTTTTTGTTAGTACTACTTGTCCTTAGTTTAACTTCTGATTTCCCAGGCCAAGAAACGTTTTTATCATCTGAAAAGGGTAATCTTTACCTATTAACATCTTTTTTTCATTGTTGTTTTATTTTCTCTTGTTTTATATTCCAAATTTTAAAAACATTTGAAATTTTCTTTATGTATTTGTTGGTTTGGTTGGTTTTTTTTTTTTTTTTTAAAATTTATATTTTGGCTCATATTTCAAGAATTAAACAAAGTAGCTTTAAGTTTAAGCAGTTTAAAAGATACACATTAAATGGAAAAGAAAAGAGTTGGTTAAAGGGGATGATTTGGCTATTGTGTAGAAGAAAAAATCTTACTCTTTTTTTAGTTAAGGGTATTGGTTCTGGTTACTTGGTAAACCTGGTGTCCTTGCATGACCTTTGAATTACAACAATGCCGTTAATAACCAGTTATAGTTATAGCAAGATTTGTTTCGGGCTAAATACAAATATTGCATGTTTTGAGAAAGTTAACCATGTTTTGTGAGTGCCTTAGGGACTTGTTAACATTTAATTTTTTTTTTGTTCAGTGCATGTTGAAGTTGCCTTCTGATGTTTGGGTTTTATTGTTGCATGAATATCTGTTTTAAAGCTAAACAAAGCTCCAGTATCCTACACACTCAATCTTCTCACACGTGGGGAATAGCAACAAGGTGTATATCTACATTCTCTTATGCACACGTCACTGACACCTACACATTCTCTTTTATACACTTGTCTTATTCATCCACATTCTCTGGTATACAGTTGTCTGGCACAGCCAAAGTTCTCTTTTATACACTCATCTTACATATCCACATTCTCTTTTACACTCATCCGACATCCACATTCTCGTTTATACTTTTATACACTCATCTTACATATCGTCCATATTCTCTTTATTTTCTTTGGTACACTCGCTTTATACATTCACATCTTTTAATGCTCATTTTGTACAACCCTTTTTGCTTCTTTAAAAAATCTTATGCAATCACATATTCATCAAAAATTGTTTTTACACATTACACTTTTCTTTAAAAAACCATCTTGCACATCCACCTTCTCTTCCTATTAATCCCACTTGAAACAGTCACATTTTATTTTAAGCTTTTTTTTTTAAAATTCACCAAATAATTTTTTTTTATATTTTTACACAACATTTTCACTTCAAATATTTTGCGCACTGACATGGTTATTAAAGGATTACAGGCATATCCTATTAAGCTGGTTTTTTTTTTCTACAGTGACTGAAACATACTAGATCTAGTTATTTTCTCATACCAGACTGGGAAAGGCAACATACAAGTAAAGCAGCCTATATCTCCCAGCAAATATATATTGATGGGTAGAATGGTCCTGGTATAATTAAAAAGAGAATTGAAAACACGAAATCATTACTTCAACTCATGGTTGCCTAATTGGCAAAATGAAACTAAATATGTTGGAACCCTATGCCTATTAATTGATGTAGAAAAAAAAATTCACCAGTAATTAAGATAATAAAGTAATGTTTTTCTTGGTCTTGTTGATCTAGTGCACACAGAATGTCATGCTGGCTGGATATGCCTGTGTTTATTATTTTCTTTCTTTAATTGGCTGAAAGGTACTTCAGTTTACATAGGGAGGAAGTTATTGAATATCTTTGATTAAATGATGATTTAAATATGGCGAGCAAAACTCTTGAAGTAAATATAAATAAATTAACATTAGCCTCTTAATAGTAGGGAAATCTTAGGCTAAGGATATGTTTAGGGACTTGTATTCTAATTTAAATGTTCATTTATTTATATAAACACATTATTTTATAGCTTTTATTAACCAGTTTGATAAGCTCTGCTTGGGGATACCCATTTTAAGTTCAATTAATACACAACTGATATCTGGTAGTAATTAACTAAGGCTGAATATTACTAGATTTAAATCTTAGCAAATAAAAAATTAGCTTATATATATATATATATATATATATATATATATATATATCTATAATATAAGCGGGCTGTGTCTGTCCTTCCTTCCTTCCGTCCGTCCGTCCGTCATCGCTATAGCTTTTGGAACCATAAAAGTAAACATTCGCACCATGCTGTGCTTTTCAGTGCACCGCAGTGTCTTATTATAAGTAATAGAGTAGGGTTTGTTTATATAGCGGCATTAAGCTATTTTATAATTGCCACGGTTTTTACTCTTTCGCATAACGTCAAGAAAATATTAAATACACGCACATTGCTAAAACATATTAAAAGGATCAATGTCAAATATAGTTTTCGTTAATATTCCTAGAAAAAGTGGATACATTTTAATAACATAATAACAGTACGGTAGAAAAATCAAATTAATTTAATTCTTTTTTTCTAATTTTGACAAAGGAGGTAATTTAAAAATACATTAAACTCACGCTAATAAAAAATGTGAATGCAAATATACGTTCGTCATAGAAGGAATTAGTGTTGCAATAATATAATTAGCAAAATGTGAATGCAAATTATTCGGATGTGTAAGAGGAAATTATTGTTAGAAAATTATAATTAGCAGGATTGATAAAAGGCAATCTTTTATTTATTTTTTTCACTGAATGTAGGCCTTACTGTTTATTACTTATAATTTTTAATCAACTATTATAGACGCGTCATCACGTTCATTAGGTGCGCAATGGTTTTAGTTATGAAACTCTATTGTAAATTTTTAAAATTTAAAGTACTGGAAAAAAAGTGCGTGAATGGATAAAGTGAAATATTGTAGGTAAAACACGGATATTATAGATACTGCCTATTATTTATACAGTTTTCTAATTATTATTCTATCTTTCGGGTTTTATAGGAGAGGCGTAGCGAGGGGGGGGGGGGCATATGTCCCCGGGTGCCGACCTTAGGGGGCGCCAAAGTGGGTTGGAAAAAATTGCGCGAGGGGGGGGGGGTGGAAATCGAAAGTTTTAGGGCGGGGGGACAGGGGTGCAAATCGAAAGTTTGAGGGGGGCGCAAATCACCGGAAAGGGCGCGATTTGGCGCTACGGGCTAGACTGTGAGCAATATGCCTTAATGATTACAATTAAATTGTGTTTATGTTATGAGTGTTATGTTTGTTTTTTGGTTTTTTTTTTTTTTTTTTTTTTTTTGCGTTCGTTTGTGTTGTGTTTAGTTTTGTTCTGTTCTGTTCCCAAGTTGGTACATTTAAAAAAGATTTACCGTGGCGGAGCACGGGATGCAGCTAGTATATATATATATATATATATATATATATATATATATATATATATATATATATATATATATTGGAATATTTAATTTCCTTTTGGTTTGTGTAATGTAATCATCATCACCTGTTTTTATTTCTACGAATAAACATTCATACACATACACAAGCACATCCACACACAACCATACATAAACATAACACTTCACAAAACCAAAAACCCAAATAAGATGTATTGGATGAATAAGTGTATGGACTGGTTGCAAGGACATGTGGGCCAAGTTTCATCATAAGATCATTGGCTTAAGATCACTCTGTACCCTATGCATCATCTGGTAGATGTGTTGACCTGGTTTACTACATATGTCAGCACATGAGTGCCACACCTAGTGTGTTTGTAGGCCAAAGTTCTAGTGTGCAGTCCACTAAACTTGTCTGTTCTGTGTTCTCTAAAAGCTGGTTATACACTGTGTACTTCACATGTTTTGATATACACATATTTCAAATGTGGATTTATTATGGAGAAATCTGTTTTTCAAAAGCTTCTTAAGAAGGTGAAGATTAGCAGTAGATAGTTAACTTATTTAATAGGAAGTGTAGTTGTGTAATCCTATTATATGTAGGTCCTTAGCTAACTAATGAATCATAGTTTTGTACTTGCATTCATTATACAACACATTGCTTGCAAACAGCTAACGACCTAGGCTTGAAACAATTGTTCACTCATTGTTAGTTAACTTAATAAACATGATCTTTGTGGTGTATCTATAAACAAACCAAGGCTTGAAATAACTGCTCCATGATTGATTGTTAACGTTATGATATCTATCTGTGCTGTATTTATGTACAAATGGTGTTATCTTTTTTTTCTCTCTAGGCCTCTTCAGTACCAACTACAACATCTGATCTTGGTAGCATGTCTGACTCCCCACAAACCAGCCCCAGCATTTCCCCCACACCCAATGATCCACACAGCCGCCACAATGGCCAGGAAATGGAGGTAAGTAAAATGTCAGGAGTTTTTTTTTTTTTTACTGCTCCTCTCTTTGTACACTTCATTCATAGAATAAAAACTTTGAGGCAGACCGTGTAATATACTAATTAGTGTCTTTTTCAAAGTTTGCTGGAAGGTAAAGTTACCTGATGCTTAACGAATTCATGGCTTGAAATTTCTCACCAAATTTTTTTTAAAAGTTTAAATGTCTTTCCTCATTTGTAGAAAGAGGTGAAATGTTGGTGAAAAAAAAAAATTAAACAAGAGAATCTAGTAATTTTGTTAAGCTCTAAAATGCTTTAGCTCAATAAGTCAATGGACTTTAATCTTACTATTCTGTTGGTTGTTCAACATACTTTTCTGTTGGTTATTCAACATGTAAATTTTTTTTTTTTTTTTGAAATGAAAATAATGTCAGTTTATTTGACAAGTTGAAAGAGTGAAAACCAAGTTGCAAAAAAGCACTTTAGCATTGCGCATGTCTAAATACTATTTTTTTTATTTTAAAAATTTTGATTTGAAGGACAACTGCTTCGATTTTATGTAATTTAATATTAATTTTATTTCTCTGCACAAAATGAAATAAAAATCACTTTAAAAAATTATATTTATCAAAATTTATATTTATATTTAAAACTTTACATAAACTTTGGTTTGCTTATTGTTTTGTAAGTTGATAATTAAACTTGTTGAGCTTAATAAAAAAAAAAGAACAGGATATAGTTGTGAAGTAAAGTTCTAATGAAACTTGATGCATTTCTTGACTGCTCAACTTAAAAGGTTGAATTTTTTTTAAATTTCTGCCAAACATGAAAAGTTTTAGAGTATTCTCCTGTATGCAGCTTTAAAGAAGTGTTTTGTTTTTTATTTTGTGGTGGTGCAGGATTCCATGATGACAGGAAGTCAGGATATCATAACAATAGATGATGAAGATGTCCACTCTGATGATGACCAGGTAGATTTTTTTTTCTCCTTTCCTTTAACCTGTTCAGCTTGTCTATCCTCACTGGGTTTTTTTGCCTATAGACAGAATAGATTTGGTTAACTAGTAGAGTGCAACATACTCAAGAGAATTTTTATATATTTTGGATTGTTTTTCAGCCATTGTTTGAAAATGGACTTCTTCTAATAAAGTTACTGTTTTTCAGCCATTGTTTTAAAATGGACTTCTAATAAAGTTACTGTTTTTCAGCCATTGTTTTAAAATGAACTTCTTCTAATAAAGTTATGGTGTTGCTAGGAAAGTTATAACATAGTTTAGGGCTAGCATTACCGTTGATGATAAGAATACTTGTAATAATTTGCTTTCCATCAACAAATTAACACCCCCTTTTTTTTCAGAAGAGTCCATAGTTTTTTTTTACATTGGTTTGAAAAATAGCCTAAAAATTTAATCTAGCAGCTTTACAAATAGTGCACTCTGACCAGCATAGTTATTGTGAGTATCTTTGTTTACAGTTGCTGGAGCTTCCCTTGATTGTGGGAGGAAGGCCTACGTCCCCTTTCCTGGTTAAGATCACCAGCCCTGAGGTTATTGCCGCTTTCCTAGCTCAGCTTCGTAGAGTAGTCTTGTACAGTTCTATTTTTGGAAGGAGTTGAGAGCGTTCTGGTGGCTCTCCACCCAACTTCCATGGGGTCATCCCTTATTGTTAAAGCCGAAAAGCAGAAATTTCAAAAACAGCTCCAACTGTCGATCAATTTTGCTTAAATTTTTCCACTTTCATAAAAAAAAACCAAAGAAATCGTATTTAAAATTAACTTTATATATATATACATAAATAAATTTAAAAAATGTTTATACACATTTTTAAACATCTTAATATTTATATGCCAAATTATTTTTTTTTGAGAGGTCTGGTTATTTTGAAATTTCAGCATGTGCATTTAGCCAAATGAGGGCTATGCCCATCTTCCAGAAGTACTTATATCATTGTTTCTTCTCTTGCACTAGGCTATGGGTTATTCACATTAACATATTTTGTTAAGGTACATTCTAACAGTTTCAGGTGCAGCACACATCTTGTAATCCAGCTTTGTGTAACAGTTTACTTATTAAATCATTCTTTTAACTTATACTATACAGTATGCCCTAACTGATAGGTGTTTATTATTATTATTATTCATATAATCAGTTACTAATAATTTTTAATTATACCTTTTAACAAACAGACTAGGAATACACACAGATAAATCTAATTAAAGAAAACATTTCTTTCTTTTTTTATAATTTTATAATTATTGTATTGATAGTTGAACTACAGCTGCTATTTACAACTGTATAAACTTGAAAGAATATTAGAAGTACTTGAATATTTTTTGTGTATGGTGATCAAACACTATTGTTTATCATGCTTATGGAGTCAGGTTTCAACATAGTATTTTCTGAAATAAGTTTCCAAATGCTGAACTATATCATAGCGACTTTATACCAGTCAGTGCTTTTTTTTTTAGTAGTTTTAACATTAGCATTATATAAAATAATCCAGTTAGCTTAAACTCTTTTCATTAAAGCTATCACATTTTACATTTACAAACACTAGAAAGATACATAGAAAAATATATAGTAAACAATCATTTACTTCTCCAACTAATTGTAACCAATAACCAAAAATATAGTTGAAGAGTCTTCGTTCCCTTATGTGCAGCCAGTATAAAATGACTGCATTGTTAACATACATGAATAAATTCCTTGCATCAGATATTATCAAACAATTGTGTCACACCTGTAAATCATTAGCAACAAGCCATGCATGAAAGCTGCTGCTGTGTATACTCTGGTATGTGGAAGGGACAAGTCAAACAGGCATTATAACACAGTACGCTATCTAGCCTTAACATACTGCAGACAAAAACTCATATATTCTCTTGCCCTGTAGTCTAATCATTAGACATTTATATTCATTTATAATAGCATACCATATGTCAGTGGTTTTTATATTTCTTATCCAACTACATATTACTATACAAACTCATCTTTATATAAAATAAAAAATTTAATTTATTCTTTCTAACATCTAGTTGGGGTTATACAGTAGGATTTTAAAAGGAATATAATGTTAAATAAATACAGTTAATGACCTTTTTTTAACTTACATTAAAGTTTAAGAAAACAACAATTTGTTTAGGGAAATGAAAAAAAAGCTTAACATTCTCTGTCATTTAATTTTTGTGATGAAGTAATACCAGTAAGACATTTTGTTTTTTATATCTGACAATCATGACATGGCACATTTGTTCCTTGCTTTTTGAAAACTCAACTACAGCAAACATTGGCTGGCTGATTTTTTTTTTTTTTCGCTGATTGTCTCTTCAGCACATAAAAGACTGGCTTAACAGCAACTAAACTCAGGACCATCTACAAACCCAGGATCCAACGATCTAATCCACAAACCAATGATCCAGTGGCAACATTCATACCTCTATCTAACCTGTACTATCTCATCCACAGGCCAATGACCCAGGACCTTTTGCAGACATCAAACTATTGGAGTCTAAACCAGCTCATATGGCCATATTTTTGAACTACCTTATCTCTAACAGTGATCCCTCTCCAGTGGTAAGTCCATTTACAAATTCACACTCAAATGTTATAAAAATTTCAAATTTCATTCATTTCTTATATAATTAATTGCTTCACTGATTAACATAAGTATTTTATTTATTTTAGATAGAAGCAAATGCAGATTTTAAATTAGTAATCGTTACTTCATATATTGATTGGAGCAAATAACCCTCTTAGATTTGTTTGAAAATGATTACACGTTAACTGTCACTTGCTAAAAAATCAATTTTACATTGACTTAAAATAGACTGCCCTTTTTGATTTTCTAAGTTCAAGAGAAATTTACAAATAGTATTATCTGAAAGGCAAATTTAAATGTTTCAACTTGAATAATGTTGGCTGTGGTTGAAATAAAAGTGATTGTTGTATCATGCTGTAATTTTTTTCTATTTTCCAGCTTTTTCATATAATTTCGGATCAGTTTAGCCGTAGCACAGCCAGTAAAAATGAACTGAGAAAGTGGGCTTATGAAATCTATTCAACTTTTGTTGCACAAACTGCAGTAAGTTGTCCATTATACTATGTAGAAATTTTTAATAAAGGGGATTCATTGGTAGAGGGCCAGATTAGTTACCAGGAAGTCTTGAGCAGTTCTTTGCTGGCTTGAGTATGTAGAACATCTGAATACGCCCAACTATGATATATACAAGATTTAAATGAAAAAAAAAAGGCAGCTGAGTATAGTGCCGGCAGCAACATTCCTCCATAAGGTTTAGTCATTAAAACAGGTTAACTCGATATATATCGATAGTGACTGTCTTGTCACAGTAGCTAATTTTCTTTCCATACCCTTAAACGTTTAAAAATTAATAAGGGGGGGGGGGGGGAATAGAGTAAATGTTATAGCTAAGTTAAAGAGCTGCATCTAAAATTTTAAAGCCAGTTGTTGGCTGACATCTGGCTATTTCTTGGTCCAACTTACCTGCTTTTACTAACTCAGTATTTCTGGAAGCAAGTTTCTTTTGAAACTTGTACATGATTTTAACATTCACTATTTCTAGAAATGTATTCCTTATAGTATTCCTTATAGAAGATGTACCTGATTTAAACATAGTCATTCAGCTAATCTTTTTTTTTTATATAAAACTTGTACCCAACTGATTTCAACATGCTCCAAGATTAGGGTTACATATTGATTGTAAAATATATACCTGGTTTAAACCAACTTCATGATTTTTTTGTGACGTATTGATTGTGAAATACTAGTTGGTCTATATGATACCCTAGGCTTAAAATTAAAAAGAAGTTTTAAACTGAATATTTGTAACTGTATATGCTTTTTTAGCCCCTGTGCATATCAGTTGAAGACAACCTCATTAGTCAAATAGACAACATCTTAACAACAAGTGCCACAAAGACAGACAATGAGTCTGTTCTGAAGACAATGTTTCAAGCATCTAGACTTTCGGTACAGAATGAAATCAATGAACTACTCAGTGACTTCAGGAGCAAAAAAGACTTAGGTATTGCTTATGTTGTAAAGCAGTTGGGGCTGCCTAGAATTTAAGAGCCCTTGTATTTAAATAACATTAGGCATTCTGTTTAAAGTAAATATTACTTTATTTACATCACTTATTATTGAAAGGCTTTCTAGCATCTGGAGTTTTGATTGTTTTATAAGCACAGTTTGTTTGTCAATTTATTTAAAATAAAAAATTTGTTTCCACTTCTCAAATTAGTGCTTGTTTGTTGCAGTTAGCCCATGTATACATATATTTTTATGATCTGTTTTAGGTATGCTGAACTTTTATGGGGGACAAAAGCTGCATGAAAACATGGACAGAGCTGCAGAAATCAAGACTGCTGAAGAACTCTTAATTCCTATTTTGGAAAGCCTAGGGTAAGAGAGACTTGTCAGTTATGTTTAACTTCATACCTTTTTTTTGTAGGCTCACAACTAGTGTTGCTTATCAGTCAATACTGAACAGTTGTCTTAATTATTGTTTTTAATACTATCCATGTTTCTACAGGATTGTCAGCAATGGCATGCAGTTGTCGCAATTGTTTTTCTATCAGACAATACACTAGTTTCCTTGTCTGTACAAGCTAGATAACAATATCATGCAGTTGTCACAATTGTTTCTTTTATCAGACAATATAATACTGTCCATGTCTGTCTTTGCAGGTCTGATGACAATGTCATGCAGTTGTCACAATTGTTTCTTCTATCAGACAATACAATACTGTCCATGTCTCTACAGGCCTGATGACAATGTCGTGCAGTTGTCACAATTGTTTCTTCTATCAGACAATACAATACTGTCCATGTCTGTCTCTACAGGCCTGATGACAATGTCATGCAGTTGTCACAATTGTTTTTCTATCAGACAATACAATACTGTCCATGTCTCTACAGGCCTGATGACAATGTCATGCAGTTGTCACAATTGTTTCTTCTATCAGACAATACAATACTGTGCATGTCTCTACAAACTAGATAACAATGTCATGCAGTTGTCACAATTGTTTCTTCTATCAGACAATACAATACTGTCCATGTCTCCACAGGCCTGATGACAATGTCATGCAGTTGTCACAATTGTTTCTTCTATCAGACAATACAATACTGTCCATGTCTGTCTTTGCAGGCCTGATGGCAATGTCATGCAGTTGTCACAATTGTTTCTTCTATCAGACAATACAATACTGTCCATGTCTTTCTTTGCAGGCCTGATGACAATGTCATGCAGTTGTCACAATTGTTTCTTCTATCAGACAATACAATACTGTCCATGTCTTTCTTTGCAGGCCTGATGACAATGTCATGCAGTTGTCACAATTGTTTCTTCTATCAGACAATACAATACTGTCCATGTCTTTCTTTGCAGGCCTGATGACAATGTTATGCAGTTGTCACAATTGTTTCTTCTATCAGACAATACAATACTGTCCATGTCTGTCTTTGCAGGCCTGATGACAATGTCATGCAGTTGTCACAATTGTTTCTTCTATCAGACATTACAATACTGTCCATGTCTGTCTTTGCAGGCCTGATGACAATGTCATGCAGTTGTCACAATTGTTTCGTCTATCAGACAATACAATACTGTCCATGTCTCTACCAGCTAGATGACAATGTCATGCAGTTGTCACAATTGTTTCTTCTATCAGACAATACAATACTATCCTTGTCTGTCTTTGCAGGCCTGATGACAATGTCATGCAGTTGTCACAATTGTTTCTTCTATCAGACAATACAATACTGTCCATCTCTGTCTCTACAGGCCTGATGACAATGTCATGCAGTTGTCACAATTGTTTCTTCTATCAGACAATACAATACTGTCCTTGTCTCTACCAGCTAGATGACAATGTCATGCAGTTGTCACAATTGTTTCTTCTATCAGACAATACAATACTGTCCCTATCTCTACAGGCCTGGTGACAATGTCATGCAGTTGTCACAATTGTTTCTTCTATCAGACAATACAATACTGTCCCTATCTCTACAGGCCTGGTGACAATGTCATGCAGATGTCACAATTATTTCTTCTATCAGACAATACAATACTGTCCATGTCTCTACAAACTAGATAACAATGTCATGCAGTTGTCACAATTGTTTCTTCTATCAGACAATACAATACTGTCCCTATCTCTACAGGCCTGGTGACAATGTCATGCAGTTGTCACAATTGTTTCTTCTATCAGACAATACAATACTGTGCATGTCTCTACAGGCCTGATGACAATGTCATGCAGTTGTCACAATTGTTTCTTCTATCACACAATACAATACTGTCCTTGTCTGTCTTTGCAGGCCTGATGACAATGCCCGACCAGAGAAGGACCAGGCTACAGCCTGGGCCCTGGCCACATTCCTGCGATTGTGGGTGGGATCAAAGTCCAACCACAATGCTACACTTGAGAGAGTTCAGACCTTCATGATGAAAGATAAGAGGAGTATAAAGGTTTTTGGATCTAAATCCAGTAGAGCCAAGGTGAATAGTCGTTGGTTTGATTTTAGCTTGAACTATAACTTAAAGGGATTATATTACTCGACATATCGACATAGGGATGGCGTGGCCTAGTGGTAGAGAGCTAGACTACTAACCTGAAAGTCTTGAGTTCAAATCAGTAGAATGTCCCTGAGTCCACCTAGCTCTGATGGGGATCTAACTCATGTTAGTGCTGACCACACTATCTCCTTGTATCCTGAGGTCATTGAAACATGAACTCTACTTCATCTGCCCCAATTTCTTGTGCACAAACGGGAAAAGATGATGATTACTTGACACAGCTTAAGAAAGCCTAAGATATTCGCTAGGCTTCATTGTGTTAAAACTAATCGTTCTTATAGACTAATGATACCCACATGCTGTTGGTATAGTCACAATGACAATTTTTAGGGCTGAGGTTAGGAATTCAATTTTACTCTAGGGCTCAGGTTATTTGAGTTGGGCTAATATCATCTATACAAGCTAACTGAATCTGTGGGTTTTGGGTTATTGATTAGTACCATAGTAACTAATTATGAATGTTATTGATGACACTGAAGTGAATGCCTTGTCATCTTGTAGGATGTAAAGGGACATCAGTTTAATCTACAACACTTCTGCCTGACCACAAACTGCAACTTTTGTGGAGGACTGCTATGGGGAGTTGGCTGTCAGGGATTTCAGTGCCAGAGTAAGTTTTTGGTCGGCTCCTACAGAATTTATTCTTACTTTTTTGTTGTGGGAACATCCTTCTATTTCTAATTTGGCTTTTGCTGAATCTTTACTAAATTAATCATGAGTTCCTGTAGCACTCTTTTATTTTTTTTTGGTTTAAAACTTGTCCTGCAAATCATTGAAATAAGGATTTTGTTAACTCCATCTGAACTAAATATTACCCCTAATACTTAATGCAGGATTTAAATTTGAATGGATGGACTGCAAGAAAGTCATTAAAAAGAAATCAGTCTCAGAAAGTTTTTCCTTCAAGCTAAAGCGAAAAGCTAACATCACCTTTTTAACATTGCAGCTTTTGCAGACCTGATATAGGAAATCTTTCTAAGACAGTTCCTTTCTCTTGCACTATTCAATATCTGCCATTATCAATAATTTTAAGGACAAGCCAGTTTTTTTTATTAAAACTGTTAAATCCAGAATGCAGATTTATTTTCTGTGGATTGTTGTTCTCCAACATAGGTTGTAACATTAATGTAAACAATAGTTTTAGAACAAGCCATAGTGTTTTTAAACTACTATATCAGGATTTTTTCCAGTGTTTCGATTTGCCTCTCTGTTTTCATCTAGGCTGTAAGATGACATTACACAAACAGTGCATTGAAGAAATCACTGAAGTTTGTGGAGGCAAGCCTAAGAAAAGAGGAAGCACAGCAGTGAAGCTTATCAATGCCATTCCAAACAGAAGGATTAGTTACAACCAGCCAGGTAACCTTCAATCCACACAGTGTACTAAATGTTTATTAGATATTCCCTGTTTCTTATTACAATAGAGCAGTTACTCCCTTTGATTTGAGCAGAATCACTCGGTTGACTCAATAACTCCAGTATAGTGCTTCTTAATTTTTTAGGAGGTACTGAACCCCACCGGTTTCATATGCATATTCACAGAACTTTTCTTTATAGTTCTATCGTCCGCACTGATGAAATCTTATTGCATATCGGGTGTAAGTCTTTACCTCAGCCGAACCCTTGAGACTGAATCAAGAACCCAGGTTAAGATCCATTGCTCTAATGTGTACCTGACTGTTAAACCTGACCGTTTTGATGACCACATAATCTCTTCATATGCGGATGTAATGAAAGCAGCCCCATCCTCCACCCCAAGGACAATCACATCTGATTGAATACTCTACTGCCACCATTCTAGTCTCACATAGTGTTAGCTGACCTCTAATTGCTGCTCTCTGTAACAGTTGCTCACATTGAGCCCCCACCACGACCTGGATCAGAGATTAACACAGCAGCAACCACACAACCATATCCAAAAGAAGACAATTCAGAACTTGGTAGGTTTTTTAGTTTTAAATTTATTTTAATCTAATTTTGATTTTATAGGGCATGTTGTTCTAGTTTTTTTAAGCGATTTCCTTTTTTTCTTTTAACTTTAATGTCAGAATTAGAAAATTTGACTAAAACTAGTTATATTCTCAACAGTTGAATACCTATTTCATATTCTTCTGCTCAGTAAACCCAAAAAGACATAACAAAACTATTTGAGCTATGCATGAACTACTACTATCCTAAGGTTTTTTTCTTTTAGAATTAGAACCCACTTACTAACACTAGCTCTATCATCTACTGTTCTCATTTCTCATCATCCTTCATATGCCCCGTAACACTTTACTCCTGTAATAAGCTGTAGTATATGTTATGTCACTTTCTTCTTGCTGTATAATAATGGACTTTCAATGTAACTTGGCTGAAGTATATATGAAATGCTATTAATTGTAAGGTTATTACTAATTGAATAGATCAGAACGTTTGGCAAGGAATGACACAAGTTAGCTGCATATCAGGCTATTTCATATTGATACAAAAAACACTTCTGTTAAATAGCCATTAAATGTCTAAATCCATTAGATTTTTTTTTTTTACAAAAAAATGTTTGGTTTAAATGTTGATAGTTGACTTTGATCTTATCACTTTGCGTGTGATAAATCAAGAAGCTGAACTTGTAGACTTGGTGCTTAGAATTTATATCTACCCCTGAACCAGCTGTTTGATTTTTAAAATATCCTACAAATAAATAATGCCTTTAAATTTTTTCATCTTTAAAGCTGTTTATCACTTGGATTTAAATTGCTTAGTATTTGCTGTTAGAGATTTAATTGTAAAACGATTGATCCAAAAACCATTGTAGCTGCACTACAGGAACACCATTTTTACCTTTCTGCTTTATTTCCCGTTGTGTGTTCAGTCTTGTAGATCTTTCATTTTTCAAAATTTGACACTAGAAATGTTTTTTCTCATCTTAGATCTCTCATCAATTTTTTTTTTAATTTAAAAATACATTTTTTTTTTTGTTTGCCTTGAATGGTAATATGTTTTTAAAAAAATTTTCATTGAAGTAAATTATCACATAGTTAACCATGTCATACAAAATATTTTTAAACATCAGTTAAGCTTTTGTAAACATGGGTCTAGTTAGGTACTGTGGAGTTCTCTTGATCAGATAAAAATGATATTGTACAATTCAAAACAATAAAAAAACAATTACGAAGCAAATTATAAATAAATATCTTAAGAACAACTATTTAATTAAACAGCAGGAAAGCACTTTAGATGTAAAGCACTTATGGTAGCATTTTTAAATGTTTTGCATGCTTTATTATAATTTTTTTTTTTTATTGCTTTTGGCTTGACTTTTTTTTTATTTGCCCCCACCCCACCTCTTTCCCCCTGTAACTCTACCTTATATCTGATCATTCCATTAATCTTAATCATCACAACAATCTTTCATTCCTCCCTCCCACCTCTCCTGTGGCACCTCTCTCTGTCCTGTGACTTCTCTAGCTTCCGTCCTTTCCCTTATAGCTGGTCTTCCCGTGGGGCACTCAGTTAGCTCCTTAGTCAACCGCTATGAGCTGAGTCCTACAGGTCCGGGGCCTGGTGCAGCGCTAGCCAAGTTGGAAACTGGTGACCGTGAAAGGTAAGTTAAGAAAAGTAAGAAAATTTCAGGCTGTTTGGTTTTCTGTATTTTTAGGAAAGGGTGAGATAAAGATGGTTAACTAAGATTCAGTCAGTTTAAAAATTAAAGCCGGGTCGGATTTCAATTTCTTAAACGTTGTTTTGTGATTACTAATTTAGATGCATAATTAATTAATTGCAAGGCTATGCTGTTTAGACTTTGTTTAATATACACCTGATGAACTTTAATATGACTATTCATATGTTTACAGAAAGGGTAGCTCAGACCTTAATCGGACAGGCAGCTTAAATAATAAAGGAGAGGTAAATATACTTTTTGAAGCTCAGTTCTTGTTGAATGTTGTTAGGATAAAAGCTGGTTTAAAATATAAAAAATAAACATATTAGGTTAATGGTTAGTTAAAAATTTCATGTAGGAAACATAAAAAATGTTGCCAGTGTGACTGTGACATATGGTTATTGAAAAATAGCAAATTATTTATATTGGTAGTTTGCAGCTGCTGTTCTGTTTGATCCTAAAATGCAAATTCATGAAGAGTTGTAAACATTTTTATTCGAATCTTTGACTTGTTTTTCATTATCTATTGTTTACAGAAAGGAGACCGGCCCACTCGTAGAGCTAAAAGGTACAAAAAAATACCAGTGTTTAAAAAAAATATTCTAGAATTCCTATAATAATCTTTAACTTTTCTAATTTAAAAAAATAATGTTTTCATTTGATTTTTAATATGGTCAAGATATATATATTAAAAAAGCCTAAATTTTATAATGCAGTGATGTTGATGTGAACCCAGAGACATTTAAGGCACTTAGTCAGTCTGGTAGCTCTTCAGCATCCAGTATTTCCAACAGGTAAGCTTATAAATAATTCAGTTTTAGCTATATTGTTGTTTATCTAAATCCCTTTTATAGTTTGTAGCTTCATGTAAAGTTCCCTTTTCAGACCTTGCGATTGAAAGGGCAGATACAGTTTTTAAGTTTAAAAAGAATATTGTTCTTAAAATGCAGTGCTGGAAGAATCTTGAGATTGAATTTGTAAAATAATACTGTGACATAGTTTCAAAATATATTTATATTGCCATGTTTAAGACTATCATACACTTAGGTATTTTCTATATCAATTATTTTAGAATTGTTTTTTTTCTTCAGAATTTCAATGTTCAGAAAAAAAAGTTATTCTTTTGATTAGTTTTGACTAACATTGTTCTGTTCTAAATTTATAGAAGCATTGAAAGTCCAAGCAACAGCACAGACAGAATCAATGATGTGTCCAGGCTGGTTCATGATGATTCAGATCTGGATGTGGACACTGAGTTACCCTCCTTGAAGTCAGTTTTAGGGGAAGAAAACTTGAGGAAATTAAAACCAAAAGAGAAGAAACGTCAGGAGGTCATAAATGGTATGCTATATTTTTCAGGCTTTTGTTCTTCATCTTCTTTCCACTGTTCAATGAAGTGATAATGGATAGAAAAATACTGTTGCATTGAGTCCTGTTGACAATTTTTGACAAGATTTGCACATAATGCCAAATTAGACAATCTGGAGTTTTTTTTACTTTAAAAAAGTTTTTCTGTTCATTTAAAAATTAACTTTAATATTAGTAAGTATCTAGCTATCCTTCTAAAACACAGGTTCCCAATCTTAATACTATTAAGTAACTAGCTATTCATCTAAGATGATCCAGAGTTTTTAACCTAAGCGGTGTTGTTCCTTTAAAAGTTAATTGATACTAGCTATCCAGCTTAAATAATCCAAATGTTTAATTTAAAGTTATCCTGTTCACGTGTAAATTACCTATAATACTATTAAGTAACAGCTATCCATATAAGACAATTTAGAGCTTTTAACTTCCAGTTGTGTTGTTCATTTAATAATTAACCAATACTAGTAATTAATTAGCTATCAAATTGCCATATAAAACCCATGTGTAACTTTTGTTCTGCTTGTTAACAGAACTGTTCTACACTGAGAGGACCCACCTGAGGAATTTAAAGATCATTGACCTGTTGTTTAACCGGCCCATGCTACAAGAGCAGGGGGTCATCGCTGACCTGGCCAGAGCTCTGTTCCCCACCATGAATGAGTTAATTAGCTTACATGGTAAGTCAACAATTAACTAATGATTTTTATTTGTTTGGATTTTAAAAAATTCAGTTGTTGCAATATTGTTATTTAACTTTGGAAAAACTTACCACAGCATAGCTAACTGAAATGTTTAAAAAAAAATAGATGGAAACTCATACTGTTATTTATTATACCTTAGTCTCTTATTCATGATTAAAAGATTAGCAGAATATCTTTGTTTAATAATTTAAAAACCAAACCATCTTAAATTATATTAGTTGCATTAGTCATATCTGTTCACAGTAGGCTCACCATTAGCCTAAAACTTAATCCAGACACAAAGTGTGTGTTTTACCAGTATAATGAAATGTGTTTACATTACCATTACAGAAACAGTCACCAAAGATATGAAAGAGAGAGTAAAAATTAATCCTGTTGTTAAAGATGTCGGTGATCTTTTATTAAAACGGGTATGTTTTTATTTGACTGTAGTGTATAATGGTATATAAAATTTCAAGTTAAAGTGCATTTTTTATTTCAGAAATAAATATAATAATAAATATTTTAAATTTACAATTTATATTTTAAATCTCATAAAACATGTAAAGCTTAGTTTAATTAAACTAGAATATTGTTTTTGGTAAAGCCATTAGAAGTATCAGGTTTAGCTTTACGTAAATATTTGTTGTTTTTTCTTCTAGTTTGATGGTCAGGCTGGAGAGTGGTTTCGTAAAATTTGTGCCGAGTACTGCAGGAACCAGGCTTTCGCATTGGACTTCCTCAAAAAACAGACCAGGAAAGAACCTAAACTACAACAGTTTCTAAATGTAAGTTCTGTTTCTTGTCAGAGAGGTAGTATAAATTTTAAGATCACATGTTATTAAAATACTAAAACTGCAATTAACCACATGGTATGTCATAGTTCTGCTAAATTTCAATATTATGAATTCAATATTACGCCTACTAGATTAGAGAAATATGTCTAGACAATTCTTGGTTCAATACTTCACAAGCTGAAAAACTGACTATTGACTGGATTTTGTTAGCAATAAAGTATTTCTGTAATAATATTTTCAGGTCTGATTTGGTTTTGATTTTTAAAATTTCCATAGGATGCAGAATCTAACCCTTTGTGTAGACGTCTGCAACTGAAAGATTTAGTGCCATCCCAGATGCAGAGGTTGACAAAATATCCTCTGTTAATTGATAATTTATTAAAGTATACACAATGTAAGTAAATGTAACACATTTTTTGTGACAGAGTTATTTTACCATCTAGATAAAGAATTTAATTTAATTTAAATACCTACATGTAGCTAAAGTAATACCTGTCTGTTGCTATGATGCGACCAGTATATTGTCCAACTGCTCTTTAATTCCCTTTAAATTAAGGAAATTATTTGCACATAAAGTTGCTGACCCTCTACTAGAGCAACCCAAAGACTTTCTTTTTTCTTAAGAAGTAGTACCTGTCTGTTGCTGTGATGCGACCAGTATATTGTCCAGCTGCTCTTTAATTCCCTCATTTTTGCCAGGTACCTCTTAAATCTGGGTGAACTCCGCATTGTTCTACATTTTTAGAGAGCTGGTTTATGTTTAACGTGCCACTCCATCCAATTAGTTATTACATAGTCTAAATTTTTTGCGAGGTATCTCCTAAATCTGGGTGAACTCTGCATTGTTCTACATTTTTAGAGAGCTTTATGTTTAACCTGCCACTCCATCCAATTAGTTTCTACATAGTCTGAATTTTAAATCGTTGCAATCTACTTCCATTTTAGCTCCCAGTGAAGAATACAAAAAACTCGAGCGGGCTCTGGAAAGATGCAAGCACATATTGGCATATGTTAATCAGGCTGTGAAGGAGTGTGAAAATTTTCACAAGCTAAAAGATATACAAAAGAAACTGGACAAGCGTGCATTAGATACATCAACAGATCCTGCGCTGGCAGAACTAAAGGTTAGCTGTCATGTATAGTCAACATATTATTAGCAAAGTAAAAGCTGTGGAAAAATGTTTTGCTTCATTGAAGATTAAATCAAGTCCCTATGACAAAACCTACAAACACTATTAAGAAGTTACAAAAACTTCAGTAAACCATGCACATTTTTTGCTTGAACACTATCATGTTCATTGCATTAAAAGATAAAGAGTGCAAATAAAACATCCATAGTTTATTGTCTGTCAAATGTTCTAAAAAATAGAAAAGGTTGTTTAAATTTTGATTTTCATAACTCAATAGAAAATGGGCAAAATTTGTGAAACATTTTGTTTTGAATCGTTTTAAGAAAATAGTTATTTAAGATATGTTTGATTCTAAGATGCGGGTGAACCTCTGAGTAATTCTCTTTTTAGAGTTCTAAGGCTTGTCAAAAATAGTTACTACATTTTTTCACATATATAAAACACAAGATTTCTTGTGTAACGTTTACAGTTATTAGTGTGTAGTAAAACTTGTTGCATATTGAGAGTTTGAAATATGGAATAAGCCAAACACCCACTATCCACATACACAAAATATGCTCTACTTAACACATATGGCCTGATTTCATTCCAGAATTTGGACCTGACTAAAGGCAGGTTGATCTTTGATGGACCACTAACATGGAAGCTTCGATCTCATCGTACAGTGGACCTACATGTTTTATTGTTTGATGATATGCTGGTCTTATTACAGAAACAAGATGACAGGTCAGTAGTTGCATGCATCTTTACATTTTCTTGGGCTTGTCAATTATTTTTTCTTGGTTAGATCTTTTATTCTAGAAGAGAGGTTTGTAGCTTGTTTTTACAGCATGTGACTCTTCATGCTTAAATGCCTTTTCCAGATGGAAATGTGCACATAGAACATGTCTTAAAATAGTTTAAAAGTATCAGAACTAAAATATAACTTCTGGCAGTTCCCAAAATATACTAGCAGAAGTAAATTAAGGAAATTATTTACACATAAAGTTGCTGACCCTCACTAGAGCAACCCAAAGACTTTCTTTTTTTCTAAAGAAATAATTTATAATGCCGTTAGATTAGTTTACTGCATTGTTAAGCAATTGAAAAAACTGTGTACTTGATTAACATAAATAACCAAGCTCAGGCAAGTAAGATGTAAAAATTTGTGTCACTAGGTATGTGCTTAAGTGTCAAAGTACCAATGTCCAGTCAGCAAGAGATGAGCACAAGTACACACACAGTCCAGTACTGAGGCTACAGAACTTATTAGCAAGGAGCCTAGCAACAGGTTGGTTTTGTTCTTCTGTTCATGGGTTCTTGACTCCCTGGCTCTTTAATACAGTGGGTTAGAATAACACAGGCTTAGTGCACCTGATTACAACAGCCACTGGTATATCGAAAAGTAAATAAGTAAATTTCCCTTTCGGACTTGATGGCCTTTGGTGCAGGTGAAGTAGAGTTCACCTTGTTTTATCTCGAGTATTTATTTATGTTGTAACCTCTAGCTTCATACATTGGTTTTAAATTTTACCTATAAATTCAATTTAAGCTAAACACTAACTCTAGATACACAGAAGCACAACATCGTAAACCTATACTTAATCATTAGTAACACTGCATAAACTGATTATAATTTTAAAGCACTTAAATGAAATACTGAAGCTTTTAAAAACAGCAGTTAGTGTTTAGAAACTAGTTTTATTTGATATCCTGCTAATGTGTAACCTTTTTCTTGTAATTTCTAGATAAAAAATCATTTTTCGTTGTGAACATATCAGAAGTTAGAGCCCAGATGTATGAATTTACAGCTGCTACTTCAGACCTTAGAATTAAGTAAGTTCTACTCACTGTATTATTATTATCAGGAAAGGTTTTATCACTCATTTAAAAGATTTTTTGATTTAATTGAAATAAACCATACAAATGGTTATAAAATCCTAAACAAGTCATAAAAATATTGAATATGGAACCTGATTGGGAGATAAAAATAATGCTTTTAGAATTAAAAAATTAATTCTTGTAAAAGATTGCACCAATTTTGTTCAGAATTGTATGTTGGAGCCTTTTTGTTAAAAACAATGTCATCTCTTGTAAGAAACCCTACCCACATTCATGTGATTGATCTCTCTCAGGTGGTGTAAGTTAATCAATGACAAAGCTGAAGAGTTGAAGAAAACTGGTACCGCTGTAAGGCCTAATTTAATACAGCCAGAGCAAGGTGACAAAGCAGCTGAGAGGTAAATTGGTGTTAAATTCTATGGTTGATAAATATATATATATATTTTTGTTAGTTTTGTTCCAGTTTTCAGCTGTAAGAAATTCTTTTTGTTACCTTTGACATTTGTAATCACAAATTTAAATGTTTTTTTTTGTAGCCCTTATTTGTTAAGGATGGTGTGGTTGGGTGTTAGAGCACTCAGCATCTTACCCCTAAAATCTTAAGTTCAGATCTCTGTCCTGGCTTGAGTCTGGAGGACTTACCTCAGTCCACCCAGCTCTGATGAGTACTTGACTGATGGTAGGGGAAGTAAAGGTGGCTGGGTGTAGTGTTATCATGCCAACCCTTCATATGCCTGGGTCAAGAACATGAACTTTGTCTGACCTATGGATTGTTAGTTTCAAAAAGGGAACTTTTATATATTAAGGCTTGACATAGGTTATATATTGTCTTATGGTTTAGTTTCATCAACAGCACAAGCAGTATAAAAATACGTTTTTTGATTGTTTAAGTCAACTTCCCAAATTGTATTTAGCATGCTAACAAATATGTTTGTTTTGACAGAGAGTCAGACATAACAAGCCAAATGACAGAGGAGGACCAAGTGGATAGTCTAAGTCACCTAGAGGATCTAGTTAGCAATAATGAAGAGCTCATCCAGCCAGATGAAGTACATGTCTCTAACCCCTTGACCTCTGGACCTTTAAACTCTCCCCTAGGTAAGTGAAGCTACTCCTTTTCTCTTTCTATCCTCTCTTGAAACAAATTTGTAAAAGATAACTCCCATTTGAATGAATAGTCTCCCCTAGGTTTGTTGTGTGGTGACCCCATGTCAATAATTTCTCCTTTATTTTAGGTCATAAATGGTTGCCACATTGAGGTCTATTTATTTTTTTATTACAAAAAAAGTATTAGTACCCACCAGTGGAACTTGGTTCCCCCAAATTTAAAAAGTCTGTCCAGATTATAAAATATTTTTAAAATAAGGCTGATACTTCAACAAGCAATTTGCTTGCCCACCATAGAAATATGGGGTTACTCTTGTGTAATATTAACAGGTAAACCCTCTCCATGCACCTTGTGCTATTATTGTGCTAAAGATGACTTTCTGCACAACAAATTTTACTGAAAATAAATTTAAACTTTCATTTCCTGGACATAAGGTTAATAAACACCTTTAATGAAAAGTTTTGTACCTATGTCTTTGGAAGGATTGAAGACTAGTGTCTATTACACACACATTGACATATGTCAGTGCATTTGAGAGGGTACTAGTACTAACTGGAATTTTATTTTTTAATAATTTAATTGTATTGTATAATGATCTCACTATCAGCATATATTTCATGTGTTCTTGTAAACACTTGATCAACTATTGACTAATGATTTCCTATGGTAGATGTGGTATCTACATCAACAAATAAAAAACCCTACTTTTTTTTTTTTAACACAGACTAACATAGTAGCTGTTTTCAAACTTTCTTAGTGTTTGTTCAACAACCTGTTGGACCATATGTAGCAAGATAAAAAGATTACCCCAGATGTTCTAACCCTCTCATCATAACAATGTCATCATCAAATCTAACCAAATAAATAAAAAAAACAAAAACAAATCAATATGTATCGGAACTAATGAGCTGCTTCATTGTACTAATAGCTTAAACATTGCTATACAAGAGGGAATATTCTACAACACCCCCCCCCCACCTCCTTGCTCCCTTTTCTAAATTTATCCATCATTGGTTTATGGGTGATGATTATTATCGGCTGTATCCTATTATTTTACTATCTGCACTTTATTACTATTACACAGTAAGCTATTTTTATATGGCTGCGATTTATTTCTACACAGCACTAGTCCATTTACATAGCACTGAGTGGGAGATATCAGTACACTTATTATTTTTTTTATGAACAGTTTAGTTCAACAGACTTGCTTGAATTCATTCATCACACCACGTGTAGGGAAGACTTTTAAAAAAATGAGTGAATTCAAAGTTTTGTTTTGTGTAATGTTAACCCTGCTGTCAGCATTGGTTGCTCCAACTTTTTTTTTTTTTACTGCTACATGGGTGAGATTGGTAGGCAGTTAATAATGCACACAATTTTGGTAGGCAATGTAGAAAACATTTGGTAGGAAGTGTTCTATGTAGAAAAAAAAATAAAGTGAATATTCTTCATTGTCGGAAGTTTACTATTAGCATAAAATGTGAAATTCAGTTAAGTGGAGATTTGCCAAATTTTAAATAAAAAGTAATAGAATGTTATTCTTGTACGAGAAAACTAAATTCTCAAATAGGAACTAAAATAAAAGGAAAGCATGCAATTTTTTTTTTTTTTTACAATGCTGAATCGGGTAAGATGAAATCTACCAAAAGTTTGGAATGTTTTATTTTTTCACAACACAGTTCTACTTGAAGTAGTTTGTTGTGTGTGGTTTGTTCCTGCTCTGACTGTACTGTCTGGTTTGTTGTGTGTGTGTGTGTTTTGTCACTGACCGGCTAGCCTGTCATGTGTCACCTGTTCTATTTGACCTGTCCGACAGAACTGTTACACCAGAATGCCCAGAACATAGATTTGGCTCTCCAGGAAAGAGAGCGTCTCCTAGCTCAGGTGCTTAAACTTTCATGGAATCCTGCAATTAATCAGGTTGGTCAGAGTGGCTTCCCTTAGAAATATATATTTTAAAAAAAGTAGTTTTTAAAAAAAAAGACAAATTAACAAACCCTGATTCAGATATTTAAAATACGGCAAGCATAATCACATATGAAAATTGCTTGAGCGAAGTATCCAATTTAAATTCTAACGTGGAACTGTTCAATCCTATCCTCTGAAATGGACTCCTAGAAGCCACTTTTAACCTTGACCTTGACTAACATGCCCGCATTTTCTCTACTGAACTAATTAGAAGCCAGGTGATACAGGAGGAGGCGAGGAGGAAGAGGTAGGAAGGACAGGGGAGTTTCTGCTGGCCAGAGCCTTTGAAATCAACAATCGCTGTATCCAACTAGTAAACTCTGCCTCTCTGGTACTGGCACACCAGCAGCCTATGGATGACGAGAGCCCTCTCTCCCCCTCTAGACCACTGTGTATGTTTGTATATATTTCTTCTTAGTTATTTCCCTTTTCGTGTACTAGATATTGTTTTTTTTTTTTTTTGGTCATGGAGCTTTTTTTGGGGTCAGTCATGGGCTGTAGTGTTACGATGACCAGTTGAGCACTGATTTGGTTTCTTGTCGAGCTCACTGTGTTGAGTGTTGTCACGTGTGTCAATCATTACAAAAAACTTGTTGTCTGGTGGTGTTGTTCTTTTTATACTTGAAAAGCTGCAGCAGGCTGAAGCGTCATTGTTTGTTTGTTTAGGGCACCATTTTTTGCTTGAAAGCTTAGATGCACATTTTTCTCACTTTATCAAGGGCACAGCTTGGAACAAAAGCTGTACTTTAGATATTTATGTTATTTATTCTTTTGGTGGCATCAGGGGATAGGTAATATCAAACGTTACCTCTATACAGGTACTACAAATAAAGGGGAAGAAAATAACATTGGTATAATATTGGATCTATAGCAATAGGGCTTAATATACAGATGTCATATAAGGGTTGTAAAAATTTGGTGGAAGAAAACTACATTGATACAGTAATTGATTCATAACAATAACGTAATAACAGAACAAGGTTAACTTAATATGTATTACAACACAAAAAATGTATATTATGGCACAAGATCTATCAAACTGTCACAAAGAGATTAATTACAACTCTTATAAAAAATCTGGAAGGGATTTATTTAATTAATTAGAGCTAGTTAACATCATCCATTAGACAGTTAATTTCATCAATTGGACAGTTACATAATGGCTTAATTAATTTCATCAATACATAAATAGGTTAGTTAATTTCATCCATAGCCATAAGACACCTACATTAAAAGGTTAGCTAATTTCATCCATTAGACAATTTTTGTTCTAGTCTGGGCACTGAAATATTAGCAGCACACTTGACTTGGTACATAGAGTGCACATTAACTTTTGATGCGTGTTAGGTTTAGCTTCTAGCTCTTGGTTATGGTTAGCTGGTAACTTGGCTGTTTACATGCATGATCACTAGAGAGCCACATTGCTAATGTCATATAACTGGCCTAATGGTGTGAAGCTATCTTATCTCTGTATATGCCATTGGTATTTATTTATGCAGGTATATTCCTTCATGTATATGTAGACTCAAACTCCAAACCACCTTCTTTTACAATTCAGTAATTTCCTCTCTAGTAGGATTCAGCTATAACTATAATACGTTTTACCTGACTTTCCTTAGTTATTATATAATTTGTAAAATTTAAACCTTTTTCTCTCTGGTGTTGTTAGCATTAAACATACTCATGGAAAGTAGACTATTCCTCAAACCAATCCCATTTTTTTTGTTTTATTTTACTAAATAAGCCTACTAAGTTTTTAATAAACCCTCTCCTCCCCCCATGTGTGTAATAAAATAACACAACTTGATGCCTTGTAAACCAGACCTTCAGGTTTTATATAAGCACATGTTGACTTCCTCACCAGCACTGCATGTGTTTCACCTGTTGCATCTCATTAGTTAAACATAAATATTTTTTAAACACACATTTGAAACTTGTGCAGATGAAAAGGATGCAGAGATTTATTTTTAAACCAAGCCATTTATAAACCCAATAGTTTTAGCATTCAAATAAATTTTAAAGATTTTTTATTTTTATTTTAGAAAATTGGCTGGTTCTCAGTATGCTTTAATGGATTCAGTTGATACTGTTAACTAGGAATTTTTCTTAAGAGAACATAAATATTAGTGGGGAAGGTCTAGGCTATTTTAAGAATCAGAAAAACTTTAAAACTGCCCTTTGCTTAATGATTTATTTAAATAAACCAATGTTTATACCATTCAAAGTACACAAGCTTAACAGCTTACTAGCTTTTTTATAAAAATATTGTTAAGTCGTTAAAAAAATCCAATTGTAGTATTAGCTGCTTGTAAACTATTAAAACTTTTTGCATTAGAATGAATAAATCAAGAAACCATAAGTTATCAAAAATTACTTTTGGCTCTTGAAAATCCTTAACAGAATGCTTTATTACCATCATTAAAGTATATTAAGATAAACAACGCAGCATTTGGCTTAAAATAACAGTCAAAATCTTTAAAACTCTTTATCTCTCTATTAAAGAATCTGTGATATTATTGCATGTATTTTCTCAGCTGTTCATTTCTTTCTCTTGTTTTTTTTTTTTTTTTAAGAAATTTTTTTTTTCATTATTTGAAAAAAATTATTTTAAAATAAAGAACATTCAAATTTTCAAATCAATTTATTTTCAAAGTTACTGAGTATCATTGCACACTATCATATTAGTTCTGGGTTTATCACTACCACCCTGGTCTGTCTGTCACTACCACCCTGGTCTGTCTGTCACTACCACCCTGATCTGTCACTACCATCTTGGTCTGTCTGTCACTACCACCCTGATCTGTCACTACCACCTTGGTCTGTCTGTCACTACCACCATGGTCTGTCTGTCACTACCACCCTGATCTGTCACTAACACCCTGGTCTGTCTGTCACTACCACCTTGGTCTGTCTGTCACTACCACCTTGGTCTGTCTGTCACTACCACCCTCGTCTGTCACTAACACCCTGGTCTGTCTGTCACTACCACCTTGGTCTGTCTGTCACTACCACCCTCGTCTGTCACTACCACCCTGGTCTGTCTGTCACTACCACCCTGGTCTGTCTTTCACTACCACCTTGGTCTGTCACTACCACCCTCGTCTGTCACTACCACCTTGGTCTGTCTGTCACTACCACCTTGGTCTGTCTGTCACTACCACCTTGGTCTGTCACTAACACCCTGGTCTGTCTGTCACTACCACCTTGGTCTGTCTGTCACTACCACCTTGGTCTGTCACTACCACCTTTGTCTGTAACTACCACCCTGGTCTGTCTGTCACTACCACCTTGGTCTGTCACTAACACCCTGGTCTGTCTTTCACTACCACCTTGGTCTGTCACTACCACCCTCGTCTGTCACTACCACCTTGGTCTGTCTGTCACTACCACCTTGGTCTGTCACTAACACCCTGGTCTGTCTGTCACTACCACCTTGGCCTGTAACTACCACCCTGGTCTGTCTGTCACTACCACCTTGGTCTGTAACTACCACCCTGGTCTGTCTGTCACTACCACCCTTGTCTGTCACTACCACCTTGGTCTGTCTGTCACTACCACCTTGGTCTGTAACTAACACCCTGGTCTGTCTGTCACTACCACCCTGGTCTGTCACTACCACCTTGGTCTGTCTGTCACTACCACCCTGGTCTGTCTGTCACTACCACCTTGGTCTGTCACTACCACCCTCGTCTGTCACTACCACCTTGGTCTGTCTGTCGCTACCACCTTGGTCTGTAACTACCACCCTGGTCTGTCACTAACACCCTGGTCTGTCTGTCACTACCACCCTGGTCTGTCACTACCACCTTGGTCTGTCACTAACACCCTGGTCTGTCTGTCACTACCACCCTGGTCTGTCACTACCACCTTGGTCTGTCACTAACACCCTGGTCTGTCTGTCACTACCACCTTGGTCTGTCACTAACACCCTGGTCTGTCTGTCACTACCACCTTGGTCTGTCACTACCACCTTGGTCTGTCACTACCACCCTGGTCAGTCTGTCACTACCACCTTGGTCTGTCTGTCACTACCACCTTGGTCTGTCTGTCACTACCACCTTGGTCTGTCTGTCACTACCACCTTGGTCTGTCACTACCATCATGGTCAGTCTGTCACTACCACCTTGGTCTGTCTGTCACTACCACCTTGGTCTGTCACTACCACCTTGATCTGTCTGTCACTACCACCTTAGTCTGTCTGTCACTACCACCTTGGTCTGTAACTAACACCCTGGTCTGTCTGTCACTACCACCCTGGTCTGTCACTACCACCTTGGTCTGTCTGTCACTACCACCTTGGTCTGTCACTACCATCATGGTCAGTCTGTCACTACCACCTTGGTCTGTCTGTCACTACCACCTTGATCTGTCACTACCACCTTGACCTGTCTGTCACTACCACCATGGTCAGTCTGTCACTACCACCATGGTCAGTCTGTCACTACCACCTTGGTCTGTCTGTCACTACCTGCCCTGATCTGTCACTACCACCTTGGTCTGTCACCACCACACTGGTCTGTCTGTCACTACCACCTTAGTCTGTCTGTCACCACCACACTGGTCTGTCTGTCACTACCACATTGGTCTGTCTGTCACCACCACCTTGGTCTGTCTTTCACTACCACCCTGATCTGTCACTACCACCTTGGTCTGTCACTACCCCCTTGGTCTGTCTTTCACTACCATCTTGGTCTGTCACCACCACACTGGTCTGTCTGTCACTACCACCTTGGTCTGTCTGTCACTACCACCCTGATCTGTCACTACCACCTTGGTCTGTCACCACCACACTGGTCTGTCTGTCACTACCACACTGGTCTGTCTGTCACTACCATATTGGTCTGTCTGTCACCACCACCTTGGTCTGTCTTTCACTACCACCCTGATCTGTCACTACCACCTTGGTCTGTCACTACCCCCTTGGTCTGTCTGTCACTACCATCTTGGTCTGTCACCACCACACTGGTCTGTCTGTCACTACCACCTTGGTCTGTCTGTCACTACCACCCTGATCTGTCACCACCACACTGGTCTGTCTGTCACTACCACCCTGATCTGTCACTACCACCTTGATCTGTCTGTCACTACCACCTTGATCTGTCACTACCACCTTGATCTGTTGGTCACTACCACCTTAGTCTGTCTGTCACCACCACACTGGTCTGTCTGTCACTACCACCCTGGTCTGTCTGTCACTACCACCTTGATCTGTCACTACCACCTTGACCTGTCTGTCACTACCACCTTGGTCAGTCTGTCACTATCACCATGGTCAGTCTGTCACTACCACCTTGGTCTGTCACTACCACCATGGTCAGTCTGTCACTACCACCTTGGTCTGTCTGTCACTACCACCCTTGTCTGTCACTACCACCTTGGTCTGTCTGTCACTACCACCTTGGTCTGTAACTAACACCCTGGTCTGTCTGTCACTACCACCCTGGTCTGTCACTACCACCTTGGTCTGTCTGTCACTACCACCCTGGTCTGTCTGTCACTACCACCTTGGTCTGTCACTACCACCCTCGTCTGTCACTACCACCTTGGTCTGTCTGTCACTACCACCTTGGTCTGTAACTACCACCCTGGTCTGTCACTAACACCCTGGTCTGTCTGTCACTACCACCCTGGTCTGTCACTACCACCTTGGTCTGTCACTAACACCCTGGTCTGTCTGTCACTACCACCCTGGTCTGTCACTACCACCTTCGTCTGTCACTAACACCCTGGTCTGTCTGTCACTACCACCTTGGTCTGTCACTAACACCCTGGTCTGTCTGTCACTACCACCTTGGTCTGTCACTACCACCTTGGTCTGTCACTACCACCCTGGTCAGTCTGTCACTACCACCTTGGTCTGTCTGTCACTACCACCTTGGTCTGTCTGTCACTACCACCTTGGTCTGTCTGTCACTACCACCTTGGTCTGTCACTACCATCATGGTCAGTCTGTCACTACCACCTTGGTCTGTCTGTCACTACCACCTTGGTCTGTCACTACCACCTTGATCTGTCTGTCACTACCACCTTAGTCTGTCTGTCACCACCACACTGGTCTGTCTGTCACTACCACCTTGGTCTGTCTGTCACTACCACCTTGGTCTGTCTGTCACTACCACCTTGGTCAGTCTGTCACTACCACCTTGGTCAGTCTGTCACTACCACCATGGTCAGTCTGTCACTACCACCTTGGTCTGTCTGTCACTACCACCTTGGTCTGTCTGTCACTACCACCCTGATCTGTCACTACCACCTTGGTCTGTCACCACCACACTGGTCTGTCTGTCACTACCACCTTAGTCTGTCTGTCACCACCACACTGGTCTGTCTGTCACTACCACCTTGGTCTGTCTGTCACTACCACCATGGTCAGTCTGTCACTACCACCATGGTCAGTCTGTCACTACCACCTTGGTCTGTCTGTCACTACCACCTTGGTCTGTCTGTCACTACCACCCTGATCTGTCACTACCACCTTGGTCTGTCACCACCACACTGGTCTGTCTGTCACTACCACCTTAGTCTGTCTGTCACCACCACACTGGTCTGTCTGTCACTACCACATTGGTCTGTCTGTCACCACCACCTTGGTCTGTCTTTCACTACCACCCTGATCTGTCACTACCACCTTGGTCTGTCACTACCCCCTTGGTCTGTCTGTCACTACCATCTTGGTCTGTCACCACCACACTGGTCTGTCTGTCACTACCACCTTGGTCTGTCTGTCACTACCACCCTGATCTGTCACTACCACCTTGGTCTGTCACCACCACACTGGTCTGTCTGTCACTACCACACTGGTCTGTCTGTCACTACCATATTGGTCTGTCTGTCACCACCACCTTGGTCTGTCTTTCACTACCACCCTGATCTGTCACTACCACCTTGGTCTGTCACTACCCCCTTGGTCTGTCTGTCACTACCATCTTGGTCTGTCACCACCACACTGGTCTGTCTGTCACTACCACCTTGGTCTGTCTGTCACTACCACCCTGATCTGTCACCACCACACTGGTCTGTCTGTCACTACCACCCTGATCTGTCACTACCACCTTGATCTGTCTGTCACTACCACCTTGATCTGTCACTACCACCTTGATCTGTTGGTCACTACCACCTTAGTCTGTCTGTCACCACCACACTGGTCTGTCTGTCACTACCACCCTGGTCTGTCTGTCACTACCACCTTGATCTGTCACTACCACCTTGACCTGTCTGTCACTACCACCTTGATCTGTCTGTCACTATCACCATGGTCAGTCTGTCACTACCACCTTGGTCTGTCACTACCACCATGGTCAGTCTGTCACTACCACCTTGGTCTGTCTATCACTACCACCTTGGTCTGTCTGTCACTACCACCTTGGTCTGTCACTACCACCTTGATCTGTCTGTCACTACCACCTTAGTCTGTCTGTCACCACCACACTGGTCTGTCTGTCACTACCACCTTGGTCTGTCTGTCACTACCACCATGGTCAGTCTGTCACTACCACCATGGTTTGTCTGTCACTACCACCATGGTTTGTCTGTCACTACCACCTTGGTCTGTCTGTCACTACCACCATGGTCAGTCTGTCACTACCACCATGGTTTGTCTGTCACTACCACCTTGGTCTGTCTGTCACTACCACCTTGATCTGTCTGTCACTACCACCTTAGTCTGTCTGTCACCACCACACTGGTCTGTCTGTCACTACCACCTTGGTCTGTCTGTCACTACCACCATGGTCAGTCTGTCACTACCACCTTGGTCTGTCTGTCACTACCACCTTGGTCTGTCTGTCACTACCACCATGGTCAGTCTGTCACTACCACCATGGTCTGTCTGTCACTACCACCTTGGTCTGTCTGTCACTACCACCTTGGTCTGTCACTACCACCATGGTCTGTCTGTCACTACCACCTTGGTCAGTCTGTCACTACCACCTTGGTCAGTCTGTCACTACCACCTTGGTCTGTCTGTCACTACCACCTTGGTCTGTCTGTCACTACCACCTGGTCTGTCTGTCACTACCACCTTGGTCTGTCTGTCACTACCACCTTGGTCAGTCTGTCACTACCACCTTGGTCAGTCTGTCACTACCACCTTGGTCTGTCTGTCACTACCACCTTGGTCAGTCTGTCACTACCACCTTGGTCTGTCTGTCACTACCACCATGGTTTGTCTGTCACTACCACCTTGGTCAGTCTGTCACTACCACCTTGGTCTGTCTGTCACTACCACCCTGGTCTGTATGTCACTACCACCTTGGTCTGTCTGTCACTACCACCTTGGTCTGTCCGTCTCTACCTCCCTATCACTTGCACCATTTCAATCACTACTACCCTCTATGACTACCATCCTGTCTAACACAATCACCTTGGTATGTGACTGCAACCAAAGGCTTTTTACATCTTGCTCTTCACTACTAGCTCTTTTTATCAACCCCATCACCCTGTTTATAGTATTTGTTAGCATAGTAGTAGTGTAAATGCTTTTTTTTTAGCACATTCGGTTCATTCTATTAATTCTTATTCCCACTCAGTTTGTCTAGCCCACTTGTTTAGATATGAACTAGAATATTTGGCATGCCATCAATCCCCTACACCCCTGTGATGCATGCATTGTCATGGTGCCAAATTTCAGAACACAACGTACCATCATGTTAGGATCCCTATGTCACCACATTTCACCATCATGCCCTTGACTTGCTGCCTGCATTTTTCTGCACATTTCATGCACTCCAGTACACTCAGATAGCCCATCATTGTTTCCCTTCCCCCAGATCCTTCTGTATACATGTTGTTTAGTCTCAAGGGGACCTAAGTTGAAACATTTTACTTTTTACATAGCGTTGTAGCCATAGTATATATAGTTTTTCTTCTATGTTTTTTTATAAGCATTGTTTTTTTATGTTGTGTTTGCTTAGTTATTTGCTTGATGAATTTTATTTAGTATTACTATTTTTTTCTTGTTGACCATTAGTTTTTTCTTTAGATTTTTTTTTAAATTTTCCTGGTCCAATCTGAAGTGAGTATAACATAGATTAAAGAAGTTTAACTTTGAATTTCTTAGCTACAATTAGTCAAGGGGAGAACTGGGTACCAGAGGCAGAGAGTGCCAGCAATGGAGTCAGCATACAACGCCAACAAAGCCTTCCACCAGCCCAAATTGTGCAACAAAGTAGCCTAAGTGTCCCCGTCCCTATGGAGCAGTTGAAAGAAATGGCTGCCGAGATGAATACTATTCTGACCAGATTGATGGTTGGTATTTTATAGTTATGGCTCTGCTGTGGCGTTGGGTTAGTCAATACAAAGTTGTCCATCCTGTGGAGTTAGTCAAGAGTTGTCTGTCCTGCATGTTGATAATAAACTTGTATATCCTGTGTAATCAAACCAAAGTTGTCCTGTATAGTCGAACCAAAGTTGTCTGTCCTGTGGAGTCAAACCAATGTCTGTCCACAGAGCACCATGAACACAGGCTCTGAAGAGCGACACAAACTCCGTCAAGAACTACAAGAAGCACAACAAAAACTGGATGCCTTGAAAGAGATGCAACGTCAAATATCAAGTGGGCCTTCAGAAAGACTGAGCCCATGTAAGCATCTTACATCATTTTTAACATAAATATATGTTTTAGTCCATTTTTCAGGTGCTCATTTAATGTTTTGTATCACAAAATATTTCTGATTGATAAATTTAAAAAAAAAAAATTTAGTATGGTGTTTGACCAAAAACCATGACACTTTTATTTTCTGTAGTGTCACCAAGTCGTCACATTCCAAAGGAGACTATAACAAAGGAGACACTAACCAAGGAGACAATAACAAAAGAGACAATAACAGAGACAACAGAAACATTACAAGAGGAAGAGGTAATGACTAGTGAGACATGCTCTAGTCTCAATGTGGCCCAGTCCCAAGTCCTGGAGGACAGGCAGGAAGAGGAAATAGTGCATCACGAGGTGCAGGAGGTGGCACGCTTGGAGGAGAGTGTCGAGGCCTTGAACTTGTCCAGTGAAACTTCAGAGATAATGACCCAGGCCAGAGAGAGCAGTCACACCAAAATTGGGGTCTATGACGAGGACGATGATGACGATGACGGAAGCAATGAAGTGTCAGTGGCAGGACTGCCGCTGCCTGACATCCAGACCATCCCTGACACGGAGCTTCACAACACGTCCCAACAGTCTGACGCCGCTGAGGAAAGCGACACGGAGAGTGACGACAATGACACGCTGACGTCTAAAAACAGCTTCCCTGATTTCCCTAGTCTTTCAACCACAGTTGAGGACACGGCCGGCGAGGAGAGGGAGGGTGGGGACCGGGAGGAGGGCGAGGAAAAGACACTTATCAAACAAACAGAACTGGACACGGAGATAATCACAGGCGGGAGTAGCGTGGACAAGCCAAGTTGAGGTCAGATGACTTGAGCGCAGCATAGTTATCTTATTTAATATGTGCTAGTGGAACATGTGGAGCCTATTATAATCACATGGTTGTCATTGAGTATGATGATGATGATGCTTCTCTTCCCTTATGTTACCCACACAACATATCCCCTCATCATACAATACTATTATCAAGTATATGAGCTGGAGTTTTGTTAGATATTGTGATAGATTTGTGTGATGTGTCCTGTCTGAAGGGAAGAACCTGATTTGTGGTTAATGCTGGGAATTATAACTTTTTTTTGTGGTATTTATTTATTTGACACAATAAATGTTCAGAAATAAATAGCTTAAAAATTTTAATCTTAACCAACAGCTACTGTACATATATACATTTACTTAAATTTTAATATCTTATAGAGTACTTCCTTATCACCTGTTGGTAAATCAGTCAATTAAATAGTGATATGAGAGGGAGAAACCACAGTGTTTTTTTTTTGAGTGGATTCTTGAGTAGTTAGTGGTGCAAGATGAATGGATATTACTCAAGAATCATTGTTCAGTTTTTGTTATTTCTGTTTTACTGTAAGCAAAAAATATTCAGATGTTCTTGGAAAAGTTTACATTTGTAAATTTTTTTTTTTTAATTTCCTGTGGGAATTTCCGCCTTGTGTGCATGATGAAAACCTCTATTTCTGATACTTCAAGTGATAATTGTGTATATGCCAGTAGATGTGGCCATTTCACATTCTGTTGATGTTAGTTTGCTTCTGTAGTTATGACACTAAACTTGACATGATGTCACAGTGACTCTGCATTTGATCAGCTAGCCTTAGTTTTAAATGGGAGGTGAATTTTAATAAGTCAAATCAGTAAATCAAAAGTTATTTTATAATTGTTTGAAATTACGAGCAAACTTGGCTTTTTAATGAAGCTGTTTGTTATATATTGACTGTCTGTGGTGTATGCTGTGTGATAAGGCACAAAAGTGTTTACATGTATATAAATCTAACATAGCTTGTCTGCTGGATTGTGTACATATTATGTATGGTCCATTAAAATTTATCTTACCATTGCACTACTGGTTTGTTTTCTTGCACGAAAAAGAGGAAGAGTTGCTGTTTAGTTTTAGCACCAGTTTTATTTATCAGTAAAAAAACAAATTTAACAGTTTACATTTGAAAATACATCTTGTAACAATGTACAGTAACTGAATCTCGTAGCATCCACATTGCTATGTTAATATCCATATGAAAAAAATTTCTTTTAACAATTACAATAATCCTCATTCATGCTTACATGTGCATTTTCTTCAACATGACTATACATTATTTACAGAAGCATTGACTGCTTGTTGGTCTCAAAGTACTAAGATGTTGATCCTGTGGATCCACCCTTTGAATTGTCTGATCTAATGGCATTAATTACATCTTGGTTGATTAAAAAAGTAAACCTTAGGCATGAAATCTGAAAAAAAATAATGTGTACTCAAACAAAAATTGAAATAGTTTAAAAAACCAAACCAGCAGAAAGGATTCTAGAAGTTTAAACCGAAATTAAGAAAAAAAAAGGCAACTGAAGCAGTATTAGTTACACTGATGTGCAGTCATTTTCATTAAAATGGGACAGTGTGACCTAGCGGTAGAGTGCTAGACTGTTAACTCGAAAGTCTTTGAGTCAATAGAACATCCCTGAGTCCACCCAGCTCTGATGGGTACTTCATTCATATTAGTGAAAATAAAGGCGGCTGGGCATAGTGCTGACCACTGGTTATGCGCCATATAGGCCATTGACTCTTGATTTCAGCCTGCTTTTCTTTTTGGATTTGCTCCCATAGCCTTTGTCCAACCAAGAACAAACTGCAAGGCAGCAGTTGTTTGATTTTGGAGTTGTCTCTCCTAGAAGAATGGCTGTCCCAGCTAACCAGCCTCATCTGCCAGAAGGTTCGAACTCAAGACTTTTTGCCAACCCCTAACCATGCTTCAAACTAAACCTATATTACTAAATATGAGCTAGACATAACATTACGTCTTCTGTTTTCAAAAATGATAAGTCACTCGTCCAAATAGTTTACTTACATTCTCATTCAAAGGAGTAATTCACTGAACTATTTTTGTATCTTGTTTTTTTTATGGAAAACGCAAATGAAATATTTTTTTCTTACAACAGATTTGTAAACAAAACATTAAACTTACCTCAACAACAGAATTGTTGTTTAATTTTTGCTTGTTCCCTGCCATAACTGGTCTACCATCAACTAATATGGGACGCTTGCCTTCATTAGCAATAAAGAAATCACCACTGTTTCTAAAAAAATAATTTTTTATGAACATAACTAATAAATTGGCTAAGTTAGTTCTTATAAAAGAGGAGGAAGGATAAAATGTTGTGGAGTGTCCACTATACTGGTTTCACTATGAAGTTTGGGTTGAGGGTCAGGGAAGTGATACTAACTAACAATAACAGCTTTTATTTAGCTATTAAAAACTCCACTTGTTTTATAAGTAAAAAAAGGATTTGAACAAACAAAAAGGTTTTAATAAATTTTATTATGATGTGTCAAGTAAAGAAATTATTATATACTGCTAATATTGGTGCCAAAGTACCTGAGTTTTATAATGCCTTGCCGCCTAGATATCTTCCATGCTGGTCCTTCTAAAGACAAGTCAACATCAACATGGTTGTCTTTAGTGGCTCGACCAAGGGATATCTGCAGGGATAAATGAGTATTTTTAGACATGCTATCCAAAGCAGTTCAGGATAGATCATTATATACAGGATATTAATGTATCTTTAGGCCTACATATTTCACAGACTTTTTTATTTAGACAATATACAGTTCAGAAAGATGAATTTAATTTATTTTTATATTTAAAAAATGTAAAAAAAAATCTTACGAATGATGCTGCATTAATTAAACAGTTATTTAAAATGGTAACACAAACCTCTCTAGATCTCATGAGATACCTCACCAGCCTGCCTCTTAGGACACCCAGGGTCTGGTTGTCAAAATCTGGCATGCTGATACCTGGTCAGCAAGACAAAATATTCACAAGACAACATGGTACATTTTCATCAAAATATGTGCAAAACAGCATTAATAAAAACATTTTTTTAAAAATGTTTTTATTTAAATACATTTTTAATTAAGAATGAAAAGAAAGCAGAATCGTCTAATACATGTATAAAAGTGTCTAATACATGTACAAAAGTAGTACCTTGTTCAGTTGAATGATATATGTTAGGTCTTTAGGATATATCCCCCAATCTCATCCCATAATTAACCCCACTTTGAAAATGCAAAATATTATACAAAATAAATCACCAGCTATTTTACAGAATATAAAAAAGGGAAAGCAACAAAGTGCACAATAAGCTTATTCCATCAAGAACACTTGAACCTAAAACTACCTGTATCTCATTAAGGGTTAATTAGTAATTGATGGGTGGTCGGGTTTTTACCTGTATAATTTACACTCATGTATCTTGCCTGCCTAGCTTCAGTAAATAGCAACTGTCAAGCTCAGCAAAATGAGGTTTACCACCTAAACGTATTAACTACCTACTGAAGCAAACCCCCACCACCTGTACAGCACCTGTGTAAACAACTCACCTGTTACACTGTCCACTAAGACCTGCCATTTGGGCACCTCCTGCTCAAGGTGACGGATCTCTCTCTTGTTCCGCCTGTCCACTAGCGCAAGTTCTACTCAAGGGGGAGAAAAAAATCAAATTTAATTACTTTAATAATATTTAAGGACACAAACATGCTAGATGGAAGTGTTGCTGGTAAAGATATTATTTATGAATGTCTACAAGAGCAAGTTCTAGTTATGAGAGAAGAAAACAACCTTAATTACTTGAATGTTACAAACATGAATGGAAGTGTTGCTGATAAAAATATTGTTTATGTATGTCTATAAGTGCAAGTTTATTCAAGGGGGAGCACACAAAAACAACTTTATTATCATGTCACAAACTTGTTTGATGGAAATGTTAAAAAATTGTTTTTGTTTAGTCTGTCAACAAAAGCAAATTCTATTTAAACAGGAAGAAAACAAATTTTGTTATCACAAATTTGCTGGATGGATGTTTCTGTTAGAAATTTTGTTTTGTATACAATTAAAAGTTCTTTTCAAACAGAAAAAAACCCAAAACAACTTAAATATCTCAAATTCGCTTGATACACTTACCTTGTTCAATTGCTTCATCTTGTCCTTCACTGCTGAAAACAAAATAGAATTTTAATATTATTCTCTATACTAAATGGCTTTACATATCAAGTAGGCCTACATTCACATTACAATAATTTCTAATAAGAAAATAAATTATACTATGATCTATCAGCATTGCCTTATGAATAGAACTCTTTAAGCAGTTTTAAAAAGACTATGAATAAACCAAATACATTGAGCCAATTTTGTGTGTGTGTTAAAGTTGAATTAAAATAGCATATTTTCTCTACAATTATCTATTACTTATTTTATGACTGGAGAAATGAGTGATTTTTTAATGAATTTTTAAAAATATTGAGTTACATTTAACACAGTTAATTCCCTTTGCTTGGTACTAAATGTAATTTTCTACTTGTGGCAACAGCATTGAGAGATTGGGGGGATTATCTAATAACAATTGCTTCTATTCTTATTATCAACGTCAATTTGTATTAGTGAGAAGTGAATCACACTGTCCTGATGGTCAATATGGAAGACCAGACATGCTTGAAATCAATTTAGGATAGGTATTTTTCATATCTAATTTTTCCAAGTTAAAAATTCAAATACATTTTTTGGACCTGATTGTTATTCATTTAAGAATTTTAACTAGAGTTGACCTGTTTCTGTGACCCAGGAGTTTGAGAAGAGAACAAAATTACACATTTTTTAGTTAGCCATTGTGCACAACTATGGGACGGCATGGTGAAATGGTAGGGCATTCGACTGCTAGCCCGAAAGTCTGGAGTTCGGATCTCAGGCTTGGGTTAGGGTTACGACATCCCAGCTCTGATGGGTACCTGGTTCACACAAGGCGAAGAAAAGGCAGCTGGGCATAGTGTGAACCACACTATCCCATGAAATGCAGAGGTCACTGAAACAGATTAACTCTATTTCACTTGGTTCGAAAGGGAACTTAATTACTACATTGTACCCACTTATTACAAATGGTTTGAAAAAAAAAAATACCACATAGATTATGATTCAAGCAGGAAATGTGTTAAACTTACACAATATCATCATCGTTGATAAAGTCTTCAATGTCTGACAGGTTGAGGATGTGGTCGCCCCTGGGCATGGGCTGTACGCTCTGGTCAGGCAGGAGGTGGTACTGTTTCATCAACAGCCAGTGGGACAGCAGTGACTTGGCTGTTCTTGCTGGGTGAAACACATCAGGGTGCTGTTGCAACAGGGACTGGAAGCTTTCTACTGTAGGTTGGCTGGTCTAAATAACGGAATAAAGAAAAACAAATTTTAAAATACGCTTTATGTTGTAAAAAGCACTTGTTATTTCGATTCACTAGGATCTGAAGATGAAAACTCATGTAGTGATTAAAAGAATAATCTCCCTTTGTATGGTCACAAAGCTTTGCACATTTTTAAAAATGGACAACTGGTATTTTAAAACTGATATAATAAACGATTTAAAAAAAAATAATATATTGATTTAAATGATAGGGAACAAATATACTGATGTGAAAATAAAGCAAGAAAAAACCATTATGATTTGAAATAAAGGATGAAAAAAAACCCATAATGATTTGAAATAAAGGATGAAAAAAAACCATAATGATGTGAATTTAAGGAGAAGAAAAAATAAACACACATACTGGTATGAAAATAAAGGATGAAGAAAATAAATGTACTGATAGGAGTTAAATGATGAAGAAAACAAACATACTGATGTGAATTAAAGAAACAGAAAACAAACATACTGATGTGAATTAAAGAAACCGCAAACAAACATATTGATGTGAATTAAAGAAACAGAAAACAAACATATTTATGTGAATTAAAGAAACAGAAAACAAACATACTGATGTGAAAGAACCAAGCAGCTTCTCCTCTGCTACACTGTACAGGGCCTTGCTCTGAATGGTAGCTACTGTTTCTTGGTCCAGTTGTCTTGCTGCTTCCATGGCGATCCTGTATACATTCAGACAATAGTCCCATAAAAAAACAGGCTTTAACCAACAAAATGTATTTAAAACTAGACCATGGAAACCTACTTACTTGGATATAGCAGGATCATACAGCAGAGCGTACCACCTCTCCTCTACTTCCTTTAAAGTAAACCTGCAAGTGAATTTGACTCCGGTATGGACGGCACTCAGATCATTGGTCTGTAATGGAGCAGTAATGGAAATCATTAACTTAAGTCACTTGATGAAATCTGGTGTATGAGATCCATTAGTTTAACTTCTATCTTTAGTCTATGCCTGTACAGATCTGTAGTATACACCTGAACAGGCATGTGCTATATACCTGTACAGGCATGTACTATACACCTGTAAATGCATGTACTATATGCCTGAACAGGCATGTGCTATATACCTGTACAGGCATGTACTATACACCTGTAAATGCATGTACTATACACCTGTAAATGCATGTACTATATGCCTGAACAGGCATGTGCTATACACCTGTACAGGCATGTACTATACACCTGTACAAGCATGAACTATACACCTGTAAATGCATGTACAATATACCTGTACACAACTGTGTAAGAGACCTACCTGTTGAACTGCAGTTATTAAAGCCAGGTCATCCTGGGGTTTCCACCTGCCTAAGTCTTTGATAGCTGGGGTAGAGGATTTCTGCTTTCTGGATCGCTTTGACTTCGTCTACAGAAACAAAAAAAAATTATTTTTTTACGTTTAGTTCTAATTTCTGGAACACTGTGCCTTCATGTACTGAAACACACAAAGACAACTTTGTATGGCTTTATCACTTTATGGATTTATAAACTACAAAGACAGACTTGTGCTAATTAACCCAGTATTTGGTCCACATAGCTTAAATAAGTAGCCATGTTCAGTTAGAAAAGCTAAGAAAAAGAACTAATAATGGTGCTGACCACACAACTATGAATAACTGTTTAACATTTTTTTAAAGGGTTCTTTAAACACATTCTAAAGCTGACAAAACATAAACAGATTCACCAGTGATATTTGTTTTGGGAATTAGATTTAAAAAGCACAGATTGCTATTACATCTACATCTTAATTCAATCTACCAGAAAAAAATATAAACCTGTGCTTTGTACCTCTCCTGATCAATAATTAAAATTTAAAAAACAAAGCAATTAACAAAAAACAACTCACCTTTGATTTACCGTGACCGGTTTTGAGCAGGCCAGATTTAGACTTGCCAGATTTTCCGCCAATAGATTTTGCAGACACCACTTTCCCCGACGTACTTTTTGGCACATTCTGAGTTTTTCCTAAACTTGGTTTGGTGCGTTTCTCTGGTGGTGGGCGGACCAGGGTGACAACATCCACATGCCTGACTATCTCCCTACTTTCTTCTGTGGAACAAAACAATATGATCTCTAAGTAGTCTAAGTGTGTCTTCGTAATATTTTTATATCAACCTCATAACTGAAGAATATAGAGATCTATGTTCAATATGTTGTTGAATATGACAATTTAGCATTAAAACCGTCAAATTATTTTCCAGAATTGATAGTAGGCGCAAAGTTAAAAGTAGAATCTTAAATAATTTTTTAATGATAAAATGAAAATTGTTTACAAATTTAGGCCATGTACATCATGAAATATGTGCATACCACTTAGACCAAATATTATCAGATTACTGCGTTATGCTGATGCTATGGTCTTTAAAGGGTTAAAATTTATAAAAATTACATTAAGATCCTAATCATCAGCCTACCTGTACTTTTAGTGTTGTATGTTCTGATCATTAAAGGGTTAACATTAACAACCAAACCTCTAGCCTACCTGTAAGCTGTGAAGGTACAACCGGAGCCACAGTGGTAAGGATGCTAGCAGGCACAGGTGAGTTGACGGAGCCAACAGGCGGCGGCTCATTCAAACTCCCACTTGTCACCCCGTGTGCCTGGACAAAGTGACCAGCTGGGATGAGAGGGGTGGGGCTGGCAGTGGAGGTCTTCATGCGCCCTCGTTCTGTCTTTACCAAACTGCTTTCAACCAGTTCATCATCAAACTTTTTTCTTTTTATGGAACGGGTGGAGCTACGCCTTGCAGGTATCAGAGAACTGAAACAAGAAAAAAAATATTTTGAGCATTAGAACAAAAGCCTGGAATAAATTGTTAAATTAAAAAAAAATGACAGCTTATAAAGGAGTGTATGTTAGAGCATTTTGAACCTGACGGTCCATGGGGCAAGTTAAGTAGAGTTCATATGTTTCTGTGTCCTCTGGATATGAAGAGATAGTGTGATAAGCTCTACACTCAGCCATCTTTACTTTCCCTAAGGTGAGTTAGCTAACCATTGGAACTTGGTGGACTCAAGGACGCTATGGACTTGAACCCAGATTTGAACTCAAGACATTGGGGTTAAGTTTACTGCAAGGCCATGCTGTCCCTAAACTTTTATGTAACAAGTTTTAAAAGCCCTTAAAGCTTTAATGATTTTGCGAGTAATTGAATTTATGGTTGATTTGCCCATGGTTTCTGTATAAATTAAGGTAAAACCCGCTCCACTCTTAATTTAATGTCTTAATAAGTATGCTTAATGAATGAGATTTCTCTAATTATTGTCATGATTATATAAATAATATTTTAAAAATAGGGATATTTGTGGTAATAAATCAGTTTAGGGTGTTAGTGTAATTAGGATAAAGACATAGTAATCTAGCACCAACTCAACTGGCATTATTTGATTTTATACAAATCTACATCTATATATGATGTGGGCAGTATCAAAAAGTCTCATGATAATTAAGTGTTTACCCTGAGTCTGTTGCAGGGACCCTCCTAGTGCGAGCAGGAAGCTGAGATTTAGGTGCTGGCATTGTGTCAGTACCAGGTGAAAATAACATGCTGGAGACATCAAAAGTGGGCGAGTCTGTCACTCCAGGGATGATGTTACCCCCAGGGTTGGTATCAATACCTGGCTCCATGCTTTGTCTAGACTCTTTTTCTTGAGTTTCTGTACCAATAAAATTTGATGATTAAATTAATTGTTTGGTGAATTTGGTGTGGTCTAATGAAGTCTACCATTAAACAATAAACGGTAATCTATCGTTTTGGGTACGTAAAATCGCCCGCGGCTATTAATGTACGAAAACGTTACCTCATTGTCAAGGCTTTAATAGAAGTATATTGTCATATGTTTGTGTCAAATATTATAGATAAATGAATAATAAACCCAAATCAATGGCTAAATATATCAATATAGGCCAGAAATTAACTTTAAACAGCAGTGTCTGCAAGCAAGATTTGCTATATAAACAGCAGCCATTTGTAAAATAGAGTGACTTCCGCCTGAATCTCGCGCTTTAAATCTATAAAAATAAAACTTAAACAAGATGGCTTCTATAGTAAATGAGCATGGTTGCATCTGTTGGAAACATCGCTGGTGTTCATTTATTACTGAAAAGTTTTAATTCAATTGTTTAAAAACAGGTACATAAATGAAACAAGGAAACATTTTTGTATTTTTCAAAACATAAATTCTCCTCAAAATGTGAAATAATTATTAAAATGTAAGGAGTCACCTGTTTTTCACATTACTAGTCGCGGGCGATTTTACGTACCTAAAACGATAGATTACCCAATAAACATGCTTTGTGTTCTAGATCTAGAAGATAAGACTAGATCTAGAACTAAAAAATGAAAAAATGTCTTAAATTAAATGTGTATGACTATGAAGTTGAAGTATGATCAAGACAAAGATGACAAGATTTGAATTTTTTTTTCATTTCAGTCAAGTTCCCTGCGTAGTGCGTGGATTTCTTTATAATTACCAGTTAATGTAATAAATTCCGGTAATCTATCGTTTTGGGTACGTAAAATCGCCCGCGACTAGTAATGTGAAAAACAGGTGACTCCTTACATTTTAATAATTATTTCACATTTTGAGGAGGATTTATGTTTTAAAAATACAAAAATGTTTCCTTGTTTCATTTCTGTACCTGTTTTTAAACAATTGAATTAAAACTTTTCAGTAATAAATGAAGACTAGCGATGTTTCCAACAGATGCAACCATGCTCATTTACTATAGCAGCCATTTTGTAAAAGTTTTATTTTTATAGACTTAAAGCGCAAGATTCAGGCGGAAGTCACTCTATTTTACAAATGGCTGCTATTATATAGCAAATCTTGCTTGCAGACACTGCTGTTTAAAGTTAATTTCTGGCCAATATTGATATATTTAGCCATTGATTTAGGTTTATTATTCATTTATCTATAATATTTGACATAAACATATCACAATATACTTCTTTTTACAGCATTGACAATGAGGTAACGTTTTCGTACATTAATAGCCGCGGGCGATTTTACGTACCCAAAACGATAGATTACCTAAATTCCTTTGATAATAAATCCCATCAGGTAGATCTACTATTGAAACATTTATATAAGACAAATATAATCTATATTATAAGTTTCAATATTATTAGATTTTGTTTCTTTCTGAAGATGTAGATCTTAGATCTATTATTTATTTAACTTAACAGTCAGTTGTTAATATTTACAGTCAAATTTCTAAGCAGGAAGTAGTCATGGTTCATCTATTTACCGTTACATCCTTGCAGTTAAAACGCTGTAAATTACACAAAAAAACTTAGACAATTTTATTAACATAGATCTACTAAAAATCAGCAAAAAATGAAAGATCAAACTATATTTTTCATTTATAGAATAATTATTAGTGATGCTTAAATCACAATTATAAATACTTTCTTTTATCGTCATAAAAATATTACAGAAAAATGTAAAGATAATAAACAAAAAAAGTTTATTTTTATAGGCAATTATAGCGCATACATTTTTTTTAGCCCATAAATTAAGAACTTTAACTAGATTTGTTTTCCGAAAACGTTTTTCTTAATTCTCTCGTTATATACGCCAAAGGGCAGTTAGGAGTTGCTTTTTAAATTTTGTCTAGTCATTTTTTTTTTTAAATTAGTCTCCCACGTCTTCTAGAAAAAATATCACAAACTAAACATCCCCACATATTATAAGCTAACACCCTCACTGACACGAGTTCCTTAGTAGATAGGCTATACCATACGTAAACATTTGAAGATTATGTAAGGATCAATCAAACATAGACAGGAACATAAAATAGTATTAAAATGTGTGTATGCCAGTATCATATATTCACGGTTAGCAATTAAACCTGAATAGGGCTGTTAAGTAGGTCACCATCCAGTTCTACGGCTCAATAAAACCTGCATGAGCCATATAAGTGGTTGGTGATCTACTTACCAGCCCTATAGATGCCAGAAAGAAACTGTATTCCCCTAATAAAGAATTAATAAAATATTAAGTTACTTCCCTTTCATAATGCATATAGTCTAACAAATAAATATTTTTTTACAAGATTCCCCCAGACCCTCTCCTTAATGGATGAGAGGGGGAGGGGGGATTGTGGGAGGACATCAATGAGAGCGTTGCTCAATTTGTATTGTTGCCGTAGCCAAGCACGGATACGCAGCTCGTAAAGGGGGATCCAAAGGGATTCCTCCTAACCAGTGTTTCTTCCAGACTTTTTTTCCGGGTGGGGGGGGGGGGGGGGCACTTGAAATTTTCGGGGGGGGGGGGGGGCGGTAGACTTTCTTCGGGGAGGCGGACACTGTTAAATGTATATATTTTCCATTTCGTCAGGGGGGGGGGGAGTAGACTTTTTTCGCCCCCCCCCCGAAGAGATGCCTGAAAGAAACTCTGCTCCTAACGCTCCGTAGATATGCCTCTGTCTGCGTTTGAGTGTGTGTGCGCGCTTTAGTAGCAGGAAATTATAAATAGGCGAGCTCTAAGACGTGTAGCTACGCCGCTGATTCCATGATCATCGTTGGCGTCAAAAGGTCGGGTGTCACCCAGGGGCGTAGCGACGGGGGGGGGGGGTTACATATATCCCCGGGCGCCGACCCTAGGGGCGCCAAAATAAGCTCATTTTAGCTGTTATTTTGAATTATAAATATAAAAAATACATGGGGGGGGGGCAAATTGAAAATGTGTCCCCGGGCTCCGGGAGGGGTCGCTACGCCACTGCAGTTTCACCCGGTGCGGTAAGCAAAATATATCCCCGGGCGCCGACCCTAGGGGCGCCAAAATAAGCTCATTTTAGCTGTTATTTTGAATTATAAATATAAAAAATACATGGGGGGGGGGGGGGGCAAATTGAAAATGTGTCCCCGGGCTCCGGGAGGGGTCGCTACGCCACTGCAGTTTCACCCGGTGCGGTAAGCAAAAGTGTCACCCCAACCCTCACCAACAATTCTCCATTTTGGCTTGGTTTCCATCCCCCTCCCCATTGTTTTTATTTTATTTTATTTTGACTGGGTAAAACATTGCTTTCTCAGTAAATCTTAGTTTTGTTTTTAGATTTGGTGTCACCCCCTCAGAGACGTAGCGACTGAGTGTGTAAAGCATTGTAGTCGTTTATTTCGTAACTTTGTACAATTCAATACTTCAGCTTAAAATGAGCTTTTAAATTATAATTTTTTTTTACCACTTAGGGTCGGCAGCCCCAGAGGCGTAGCGACCCATTCTGCCGCCCGGGGCGAACTATCAACTATGTGCCCCCTCCTTCCTCATGTGTGTCTTTATTCGCATAGGCATTGGGAAAAGAGCGCCTCTCCCTCCATCTGGGAAAGTTTGCGTGTGCTTTTTACCAGTTACTGTTCCTTTATGGTCATTTTGTTAAATTCAGACATTTGAAGTAAAAAACAGTTAAATAAGCCGTAAAGCAGAGTAGATGTCCATTTTCTATAGCTTCGACTGTATATAATTTAGTAATGCAGCTCAAAATTAGCTTATTTTTTTTTTTTTTTGTACCTCGTTAGGCGCCCCCCTTAGGTCGGCGCCCGGGGCGGCCACTCCACCCGCCCTCCCATAGCTACGCCTATGGGCCACCCCACCCAACCTCCTTAGCTACGCCACTGAACCCCTTAACTAAATGGTGTCACCCGATGAGAGATGCCCGAAAGAAACTCTCGAATACAATCAGAGGCGTAGCGAGGGGGGGGCAGGGGGGGACATATGTCCCTGGGCGCCGACCTTAGGGGGCGCCAAAATGGGTTGGAAAAACAAATTGAAAGTTTGAAAGGGGGTGCAAATCGAAAGTTTGAGGGGGGGGGGGGTCCAAATCGAAAGTTTGTCCCCGGGCGCCGGGAAGGGTCGCTACGCCTCTGAGTACAATAACCTAAAATATGGCAAAAACACACTATTAAGGGACTTTTTGAAATATTAATTTACATGACTAAAGTAGCGATAGGCCACACCCCCAGGGTCAACATTTTTCGGGGGGGGGGGGCGGGGGCGGACACTAGTAAAAGTGTATGTTTTCTATATAAAATCCATCTCGTTCGGGGGGGGGGGGGGCGGTAGACTTTCTTCGGGGGGGGGGGGGGGCAGATGGCTGGAAGAAACTCTGGAGAGGTAGACTTACTGCGTTAATGTTGGTGCAGTTGACAATGTGATGGTATCGTTGCTGTGGCTTTCACTAGGGGGGGGGGGGGGTATGAGGAGAGTTGGGATTACCCCCCCCCCCACCTTTATGCTAGTAGAGGTAGTACTTTAGTTTCCATAAAAAAAATGCACATAGAATCGACAAAGCTATCACAGAGTTTCTTCCATGTATCTCTTCGGGGAAGGGGGGGGGGGTTAGACGACGGGACTCCCCTCCCCCAGAAAAAAGTATACCCCCCCCCCCCCCCCCCGAACGAAATGGAAGTTTTGAACATGACGCGCAGTCATTTTTAAAAAAAAATGCATCCTTGTGTAAGACTTTTAGAACACCGCGCACACAAAAATACACGCAGCACATTAGCTCCACCCCCCCCCCCCCTTAGAAGCAACGTTGGCAATAGACCTAAATAAACTGATGATATCTCTTTGATATGGGGCGGTGTGGCCAAGCGGTAGAGAACTATACTGGTACAGTGGTAACCCGACGTCTCAAGTTCGAACCCGACGTCTCAAGTTCGAACCCGACGTCTCAAGTTCGAACCCGACGTCTCAAGTTCGAACCCGACGTCTCAAGTTCGAACTCGGGTTCAAATCCGTAGAGTTATTTTAATCAGAGTATTTTCCAGGTATCTCTTCGGGGAAGAAAGTTTACCGCCCCCCCCCCCCCCGGAAAATGTTATCCACCCCCCCCCCCCCCCAATATCAAGTGCTCCCCCCCCCCCCCCTCCTCGGATAAAAAAGTCTGGAAGAAACACTGGTTTTAATGGCGTGCGTTGAAATATTGCTGTCTAGACATAAGAAATAAGTTACAAATGACGGGGCTTAACTTTTTTAACCCGTTCACTTTTTGCATTAGTGGCGTGGCTTATCTGGACAAGACCCGAGATTATATTTTGTCAGAGGGTCATTGATGTGCACCGAAAAGATGCCTGGAAGAAACTCCGCCCTTTACTGTATGCAACAACAAGAAATAAAAACAACAACCCCACACAAACATCAACAACACCATAAAAAAAAAATGCTTGAATGAATCATTAGTCCAATATTATAAATGTTATAAAGCTCCGAATGTCGCCCTCGTTTAACTGAGCATAAATCCGCAGTCAGAGTTAACCCCGGCAACGACGTTTAAGACGCTATGATTGGCTGGTTAAACTGTAACGTTTTGCCGTCTGGCGTGTGATGAAGGGTCCACGAGGACTGCGCGCTATGGTAATACTGTTAGCATTACCTTGACAACTGAAGCGGAAACTGAACGCTGGGGAGAAAAACGGACACGACGTGCGTCAGTTGGTCGATTTACGTCATCGTCTTTTGTGTATGACGAACACAACAC